TTTCAATGGGTAATTTATGGTTTGCTGTTCTAAATCTAGCTTGCATGGTCTCCTTGAAGTGTTTCTTAACTAATTAAAAAAATAGAGAGAGAGGACTCTTGGTCAAAATTTCATTGAGGGTATTTGTTCAGTAAGATGTACATGTATTTTTTTCTCTAAAACTTGACAATATTTAGCCCCCTTTTTGGATATTCTCATCAACAACTGAAACAAATTAATTACAAAATTAAAGCTCTTAAATTCTACACTCATAACCAAACAATTTAGATTTTTCAAATATAATGGTAAATGTTAGAACTAATCCTGCTAATGAGAAATGTGGGTATAATTTAGTGACTAATTAGTACTTATGAGTCACCATGCAGGATGTAGAAATTAATTTATTTTTAATTTCTCAAAAAAGTTAATCTGAAAATTTTATATTTTCTCAGATGTGGGCAGTATATAAAAGTTAATTATTTTAGGCTTGTTAATTTATTTCTTTTAATTAAAATGCAACTTTTGCAGCTGTGGAAATAGGATTATCAATTCCGCCTGGTCTATTTTTTTTCAAACAAGTTATTTGATGGATGACAAATGAAATTTAAAAAAAGAGAAGGAATTCTGGATGCTTAGCAGATGGTGTAATTGTAGTGACAGTGAGTCGTGATCGCGCCCCATTGTCAGTTTCTACCTGGGTGGGAATAAGCAGTATGGTGATGGGAACCAAGGTCAAAGGTCAAGGTCATACTGTGACAAACATGGGATGAAATGCTTGCTCTAGCAAAGACTACCACAGAGTTAAACAGAATGTGTGTAACGGCCTGGAAATGCGCATTTATCTTCACGCAATTCTTGATGTAAAAATTATCTTATTAAGGTAGAAAATTACTGTAATTTCTCCAGGAATTGGCCTTTGGTGTTTTAGCTCATTCATCTAGGTGTTTAAGTTTAAGCACCTGCGAGAAGCGTTGATTCTCCGGCTAGGTGTGTGTTTTTCTACATGAATTCCTCTGATCTTTAGGAGGACCATGCTTTTGTTCACGAGTTACAAGAACTTTTTTCATCACCTCCTCGTTGGTCGATCTTTTTCATCACCCTGCGATTGCTAAGGCCGTTTGTCATTGGTTGGTCAGAAACAGAACTCCCGAGACCTGGCCTGGAATGACAGACGAGGGTTAAACATCAAGATCTGTACAGGGAAACAGAAACTGACAAATTTATACACTCTGGATGTTGTAGAGCTTTCGCGGAGCAGTGGGGGGTGAAGCAAACACAGCTACATCCCGTTAATTGTTTGGGGTTTTTACTTCTCAGGAAGCTGATTAATGCATTATTTATGGCCAGCACAGGTCCCCAGTGTTATTTTTAAGTTCTTGAGACATTTTTATTTCATAAAAATATTGGTATTGGGGATAAATGGCTCTGTTTAGGCTCTATTAATAAGTGGTGTTTTTAACGAGCTATAAATGCAGTTCTTGTGTAACTTGTCATGTTTTTTTGTTATTATGTTGTTCTAAGGGATGTTTGGTTTTGTGTTGGTGTAGCATTTAGTACTAAGAGATGCCAAAGTTTACAGATAACTGGTATTTTATGATCTAACTTTAGCAGAATGAAATGTGTGGGTATATAGCAATAATCAAAGTGCAGACAAATAATTTAGACAAATAATCGGCATTGTTATATAGCTGTGCCATTCTGCACTATTACCAATTTTCTCCCGATTTTTCCTGTGATGTTTTTTAGAAGCTATTGTTTTCATTTAATTTTCTTGAAATGTCTGCCTGGTACAGAAATAATTTCCAGTAATCGAATCGCAAGAAATTTGATTAGCATGTTTATGATCTGAATGTTATGTTGTGATAAATGTAGCAGTAAAAAACGAAGAAAAAAATTACGGTTCTTCTGGTAATTGAATTACGTTGATATAGCTATGAATTAAGGGGATAGGAGGCTTGGGTAATCGAATTAGGGGGATACCCACAGTTACACATACTTAGCTGCAGACTCTGATGAAGAAAAAAGTAGCTCAATATGCCAGGAAAGCCATATCAAAGCTAGGGCTGTAGACTGGTGTATAATTGTGATAAATACTGGGTACGGGGTATAGACACCAGGGAATTATGGGAACAGACATGTATCGCTACACCAAGATAGGAATCTTAAAATGTGACACTGTTTACAGTAAAATTAATGTGCAGGAAAAAATAAATCTGCAATTTTTATAATCTAATAGTAGTATATAAATGCAGCTGCAAAATATTATCATTCTCCAAAGGTATCATTTTACAATTGAAAAGGGTTTTTCACATGGAAGAATTTACTAGTCAGCATTAGTATGTTAAAGGAAAGATAGGTTTTTAATTCTTGCTGGTTCATAAAACTACTGAGAAAAGTATATTGACATAATTCCTGGCAGCTAGTACATCAGGGAAGGGAATCTGAGACCAGGGGATTAATTAAACAGAGGAAATATTGGAGGCTTATAAGGGTTAATTACTCACGGTGACCACTCATTGACCAGTCACTGGACCCCAATTAGTAAATGACTCAAGTCCGTAATGGCCGCTGGTCATGTAAGGCAGCAATATCACGTTCCCCCCAGAAACAGCGCTGTGTAACCATAAAATCTTATCAAAATTCTGGAGAAACCATGCTCACATCCCAAACAGTAGTTACACATATTTACTATTAGAAAGCAATTTATATGAAAACTTAGTGGAAGAATCTGTACATCTTTTTATCATAGAAAGCACTGCTCTGTTAACAGTATAGGAGGCATCTTTATCAGCAGAGAAAGCGCTGGTGAGGGGTCCCCCAATCAAATAATAACAGCCCAGATTTACTTTGATGGGGGGGCTATCTGTATGAAGTGGGGAGATGTGTGGTATTAATTACTAAATATCATTTAGGAGCCATTAGCTCAAGTCTAGAAACTCCAAACAATAACTGCTCTGAGTAAGGTATCAAGTTCTGCCATCTTTGATATCCTAAGTGATTTTTTTTCCTCCTTGTTCTGTGTGAGGCAGGAAGTTTTCTGAAATCATTAAATTATTGAATGATAACTGTTTTCTTCCCTATTTTTCTTCTTTATCTAAGCTTTACGTATCTTAACAATTGAAGATTTACCTTTTTAAAATATTTTTTTTCAAAAATTTTTTAAAATTCTTTTTGTTGTCCATCACATTTTATCATAAATTAGATATTTCCGTCATTCAGTTGTAAATCAGCAATAAAGAAGGCATTAATTGAAATGCATTTATGCTTTTCAAAACTAAACTCAGACAATTGTTGAGACACCATTAGTTGTATGAACGTAATTCCCTGGAATATCCTCCCCTCCTCTCTCCATCAGACAATGTAAAAATCTTCCGCCTTCCCAGCCTTATTCCGCGACTTGTCCCCATTAAAACTAAAACACAAGTTACCCATTATAATCATTACCACTGCATTAAGATCTTAATAGTTACAAGAAATTCTTAAAACTGATTGGAGTAGTTTCCCTGACAGCCCTGGCAACATAGCCAAAATAACAACTGGTCCCCTGAACAGCTGGTAACATAGCCGGAATAATGACTGGTCCCCCAGAACAGCTGGTGCTAAGGCTGTGTATAAATGCCAGAAAGGTCTACATGCTGAGAACATGCAATATTGGCAGGCCGATAATCACTGCAACTCTATTAAACCCTTGAATAAATTAGAAATATTCTCTATTAGCTATCAGCAGTAAATAGCTTTCTAAAGGTTTGAATATTAAAACAGCAGCAATGAATTGCAGAACAGGGCCCATTTAGAGTGGATGACTTCAGTCACTGATTGGTTTTGTGTATTAGAATGTTAAAGCTTTTCATTTGACAGATCCATTATACTTGACAAGGTCGACCATTTTATCTTTGGCAGGGACGTGACATGGGTGAAGGAAATCTGTTTTCCTTGGAAGCCAGGCTAGCATTCCATGCCTGCTGCCTGCACTTAAACCTGTTAAACTTTTGATACATTAAAACTGCATTTGCCATCCCCCTCGGATTTATTGGTGAGAATTATGATTTGTGAGCGGCGCTTTATGAAGCGGGAGGGATGTTTCCATTACACCACCTGACAAGGACTAGCAGCTTCTCAAGTGTTGTAATTCTCAGATAGCACATGCTCCATCATGTTACACAACTTTTTAATTTTAGTTTTTGAAAAGGATAATTGGCTATTTACACATTATCGGCATTTCTGGCCACTTAAGGCTCCAGCATATACAAAAAACTAACACCGTCGAAGCCTGGTTTGGCTCCAAATCCTAAAACTTGGGAATTCGAGAGTAAAAATGAAAAGAATTAGAGTAAGACGTGTGCACACTGATGAGAGAGATAGCCTGTGTTACGGTATCGGAGCAAAAAATGTAACAAAAAAAGTTTTAAATTGATAAAAGTACAATGGAGGTGTACATGTGTTGTGTGGTATTAAACAGAAATGAAGACTGGTGTCTGTTAGAGATTGAATAAGGGGCACCTGCTATTGTCCAATAACAAAAACATGGGGAAATGTTGTAACTCAAACCATTAACCTTCTGTAAAACATCCCCCAAAAATGAACAAGACCTGGTCCTCGTATTGATAGAAAAGCTTATGTACATTGTCATCAAGTATCACATGACATCTCTATGATAGGCCTCTTCTGCTAGGTCTTTTTCTGCCTGGCTAATTATTTTGTTGTCATTTCTCAATCAGATTATCAGCTTTCCTTGAGTTTACGTATGTAACAGACATTACATAAATGAATAAGTTGACTTTTTTTGTGAGTAAGAGAAGAAATATTTTATAATCAATACAAAAACACAGATTTATAATCACAGGAAAGTCAGTTGTCCTGTTCTTCACTAATGATTTGGTTTATGGTACAAGAATTATTAATTCTGTTTGACCCAGTTTCTGCCATTTATAAAGCCTTGAGGTAGACATTATAGAAGACATGGTATGCTGCGTATTATGACTAATATCTCGATTATAAATGTTTTGTTTTGATTTTTCCAGGTCCTCCAAAATATGTCGGTGACGGCAAAGGGAGACAAATAGCGAAAGTGAATCATACGAAAAAATTACTGTGTCAAGTGGAAGGAGATCCGTTTCCATTTATAGAATGGAAGAAAGACGGTGAAAGTATAAATGAATTATGGGAAAATCATAAAGTGCTAAAGGACGGGTCTTTACGGATTAAACAGATAGAAGTAGAGAATGCTGGGAGATACGTCTGTAAAGCGACCAACGGATTCGGCAGCATCAGTGTTAACTATACACTAATCGTTGTTGGTAAGTTAACATTTTTTATTGAAGGGAGCTAACTCCTATATGTTAAATTAAAAGGGGGAACAACCTCTTGTAGGATCATATAGATAACTTCATTGGCAGAAATTCACTTGATGACTTCATTGAATGTCAAAAAGAATCAATTTGGATTTTATGTTTATAAGCCAATGTGCTTTGTGAATAAGGGGAAATGACCTCCATTATCTTAAAGTCTGCCTTATGCAAAACTGGATTCTGTGTGTATCAAAATCTTTGTTAGGGTCCATCTGTCTTGTTTTTCTATTGATGTGTTTGACAAAGAAAGGAAGTGTTCTTCAGAAAACTGATGTGGTTCTGGGTTTGTCTGGGCAGTGATGGATGGGGGATATAGAGCTATAAGTTAGATGGCCATTTTTATAATGGACAACAGATGAAATTGATCTATCAGGAATGTCTCAGTCTTCATCTGGAAATGACTAATAAGGTTCCCTTTACTAATTAGTCTTGTAAAAATGAAATCCTAGGTTTGTAAGCTAAGCTGATGCCTCAAAATCTATATGTTCTTGGGTTTTATTTTTGTCTGAGGTTTTTTTGAAACAAAAGAGAAAATTGTACATATTAAATTTGGACACCCCCTCCCAGCACACATTCACACACTTAGCTTTTGTAAAAATGTCAAATATTTTGCATATTGAAAACTTGAATTTAATTTTTAACACCTGTTAGTGACCAGAACTATCCTTTGCAGTAACTGAGTGTTAGTCATTGTATAAACGTGACAGTGAATCAGTCTTCTGACCGGAGTCTTCCAGGGGAAATCCTCTTGGTTTTCTTATTAATGAAAAGATTGGTAAATTGGACTGAATCTGCTTGTGGTGGCAATAAGATGCTATAAGCCGGGTGATAAACATTTCTTGTCCGCATTTTCTTGTTCCTAATTGGCTTACACACACAGAGAAAATTCCCATCATCAGTATGTCCATTTCCTGTAAAAATCGACTGGAATCAACTTGTTCATCGGATAATAGGACTTGAGGAAAGGTTTTAAGGTTATTATGGTAGAAGATGGAAAATCAATTGCTGGACTACATATGGAAAGGAAATTGCAGATTTCTTGTGTCATAAACAGTCACTGAACATATTTCCAGGTTCGGTCTACAAGTCTCTGATTGGAGCATTTGGAACCAATTATTTCAGACTTGACCCGATTCTCGGCCCTTCCTCTGGACTCGGTCAGTTCCTGTCCATCTCCCTCGTATTCCTCATCCATCCCCATCACAGTAATGGAGTAAATGGGGCCTCGTTATTCTCACAAATTGTTAACGTTTTAACGAGACTAATTTTAGGCTGAAAAACAAACATTATTTTAGATATAAGATTCTGCTGATGCGGATTTTTGACGTGAGGGGTTTGTGGAGGGATTGGGGGGTAATTATTCTTGTATCCTGGGTCTGTTGATTCAGATGGAGTGTTATTGTGTTACCATTTCCCTGTTTATTAAACAAATACGGGAGTTTGGATAAAGATTAGAAAATTATAGAAATGAGGTCACATTTAGTGAAGGGGTCTTCTTTATTTGAGGGGTGGAGTTTGGTGCAGGGGAAGTGGGAGGGGAGCACCCTAGGGTTCGAAAATGATAAAAACTTATTTCTTGTCAATCTAGCTGTTCATAATAACTTTATATTGATACTAGAAAGAAATAGAGAGAGCTCTTTGATGAATGAGAAGCAAAATTTACTACATTAGTAGAGCCAAAAGAAATTTTTAGACTGAAAGACTTTATTAGATAAAGTAATGCTCTAATTAAGACATTTTGTTACACATTCAATTAGCCCCCATGAATGGTATTACTTAATCTCCAAATCTCCAAGAGTTGCTCTATTGAAGCATCATTTGGAGCTATTCCTATCCAAGGTTGCTCTATCAGAACTACTCGCGGATTAAGAAAATATACACAAGATTTGATAAATTAATGTTTTTTATGGTGTGGCGGTGGACCCCTACCCTGACCCAAGAGTGGTTGGGCCCCCCTTTTCAAGATTTTTGGATCCACCACTGAGCATCATTTATTGTTATTGCTGTCTTGTTAATGTTTTACAGTTTCCTTGGTTTAACCCTGCTCCCAATGTCTTGTTGGCATTAACAGTTTCCTGACTTAACCCCCCCCTCTCTCCTTAGCTGACCCGCTGTAGAGGTGATAATTTACGAGATTTATGGCCTCTCTCTCGGTGGTCATTTTAGTCTGGTCTGATCAGTCTGACTGGACTGTGGTGAGATTTTATTGGCCAGCTGGGATGTCAGGGTCATTAACAGAGACCCATCATAATTCTGTCATAACTGATAGCAGTTTATCCTTGACTGAATTGTAATGGTTAACAGTTAGGAAGGCCAATCATGTAGAATGACATTTTTTTTGTATTTAAAGGTTCAAGCTTATTTTCATAAAAATTTAGTTTTTTTGTATTAATAGGTTCAAGCTTATTTTCTTATAAATTTATCAGTTTGTTTTTAAACTTTTATTATTGATCTTTTAGTTGACTAAGTAAAATGCTGATTTTGAATTTGCATCTATGTTTTAATTGGTCCCTGAAAAACCACCCTGCGAATGATTTTAAAAATAAAATATTGCTATAAATACTTAACTCATTACTCTGTGAAAAAAGTAATATTTCTTCATGGATTTTAAAAAAATTTGGTAACAGATGAAGCTGGATTTAAGAAAATCCCCCGTTTTTTGTGTGTAAACAAAATCTTCCTCTCGCGACACTGGATTCCAGGATTGTCGTACACGACTCACTCAATACCTGCGACGTCAGGGGCCAGAAAGACGAAAACTCAAATCTATTTCTGTTCCTCAGCCCAAATTAAGTATTTTTCAAACATCTAGTTGCTAATTTAACAAAAATGAACATTTGCACATTCAATTGAAGGACAATTATTTGTACATTTTGAGACGTGGAGTTGACGTTTAGGGGTCCGCGAGTTGAGAAAGTCAAACACACTTGATAAGCTGTTATCGTCAGTCGCCTGCGACACCCTTTGTTTTTGCCGTTATTTTTGTGATAAAATGGCAGCCGTGTTGCTCGCACCTCTCAAAACTTAATTTATTTGGATGTCATGATTTACAGCATGAGATATTAAAGATCTAAATGCCATAACTTTTTTCAGTATGAATTAGCATTGTCACATTTAGGTGTCAATTTTGTTAGCTTTAAAATCAAACCTGTCAAGTATACCTGCATATAAATTTGAATTAGATTCATAATTTTTGTTAATTTTAGAAGAAATTTTAATATCTTTATATTGGAAAACTTCAAAATAATATTAATGTATATTCTTTAATTATGTAAAAAAAAAAAGTTTTTAAGTGCATCATGAGTCTTTTGTACAATAAATGTTTTCTAAATGTGGTAACTAACTCATATTTAAGACCTGTGTTTTCTTAGGCCCAGACATGATCATGATAAGGTGTCACAGCCCAGATCAGAAGTGGCTGCTAATCTTATTCTTTTATTATTAACTTTATATTGACTAGCCCCCTTTTCATTCCTTGAACCACAGAGTTTGAGAGTCCAGCATCAACAAGTCTTTCTCCCATTGTATCAATGCCTAATCTCATTTCTTTGATTGGAAAACTGGGTCCCATTGTCAACAGTGTGGCCCTTAACTAAATTCCTCACACCAAGATTAAAAATAATGGAGGTAGTTAGTAAAAAAAAAGCTACGCACTGTATTGATTTGTCTGTGATGAGAAATTTTGGTGGCATTGTGAAGACTTAATAATTATTCATTGAAGGTGCAGTGGTATTGGGGGGGGGGGGGGGTAGAGGGTCGGAGAAAATGTAAATGCATGTCATCTTATTTTACACGGTGTCAATGTGAAGTCTCTCTATAAACACATGGCGGGGAGGAGGAGGAAATGAAGCCCCTGGTCTGTGTCCAATGGACTGCCAGATTTAGAAGGATAATTATAAATAAACATTCTTTTCCATTGAGGGCTTCTGGCCCTCAGTCCACCACAAAAGGCTCAGCTCTCTTTGTCCCCAGTTCTGCCATCTTATCAAAATATTGACTTTTAATATTTCTTTGGCACTATTGAGTGAAACTGGCTGATAAAATCCGCAGAGTTTTATCCCATACCTACAGGGCATGTCATTCAAGCCCATTCAGAGTGTGGTACACATTCTTACGAATTGTCATTGTGAAAGCTAAAACAACACCATTAGAAAAAAAGGAAGGTTCTGAGAGCCACTTGAGTAGAGAAATGGTGGCCTGAGATTTGTCGGGCTCAGAGATCTGATTTCTATCACAATCATCATTAATCAGGGATGTATATAAATACAAAAAGGAGTCGGAAAATTGGATTCCTCGGGGTGATGACATATGTACATTGTACGGAGAAGGGGGAGTTGAGTTTTCCGTAGCTACCAGAGCTGATATCCCAGTAAGCTGCTGAGAGACAGCAACACCAATCAGGGATATCCAATTCACAATTCTCTCTGATCTGATGATTAATCCACAAAAAAAAAATCCTCAGGAATGACGAAAAAAAATTCATCTGAAATTCCAGCGTTAGATGTTGAATGAATTTGACTATGTTAGTCACAAGGGGTCAGGTTCTGAGACCTGTTGACCCTGGTTTTATTGTCAGGGCTGCGTAAGTCGGGGGATTTACAAGTCCAGCGTTAATTATCATCCATACCTGGGCCAAAGAAACGGAACAAAATCTGACGTCCTATTACTGTCCAGGTCTGAGCTCTTCTTGTCAAAGTAAATCTCGTAATTTGGATACAAATCTAAAGTAAAAATCACCCGGATTAGACTTTCCTTTCACACAATAACAATTATCACACTTAAAAATTCACTGTTCAACCAAAACTTCAATAAAAATACCATTTTAGCATTGGATTTTTTGTGCTTTTGACACCAACTTTAAAATTTGTGACACAACAGTAGGGGGATTAAATCCCTCACAGATTTAGACAAAGATACATTAAGATCATTTTTCTGATGTTCAATTAACAGTAATTAATGTCATCTAGGTCGTTTGTACTCCACATCTCACACTATATATGGTTTTACTGCAGAGATAGAATCTCGTTCAGTAGTTGCTGCATTTTACAGTTATTAGTGACACCATCTTTGTTATTTAATAGTTGATGTGTATTATGCAATAATTATCCTCGCATCGTCTCGACAAATCCAGCCTTGGACTTGAGCCTATCTTGTAATGTTCAGGACTGCATCATCTCTGCCAGGCTTTGTTTTCTTTTTTCTATTTTGCTATATGATGCATAAATTGTCAATTCTGTCGATATTAACCTAGTTTCTCCTGAAATTTCTACGTTTTGCAGGTGCTTGTTGCACATACATTCAATTTCTCAGTTTCTGGTTTCGAGCCCTCGTATATTCATTAGATTACCAGTGAAGAATTTTCTTGAAAGTATAAATTGACTTTAATTATATGTTTTTGAGTTCAGCTTGTTATAAATTTTCATTCTTCCCTAATACTTTTTATAAAGAATGTGTTTAATTAATATTTTTGACCTGATATTTTGTATATAGGGGCCTGCGGTCGATGTTATTAGATTTAATTAGAAGGAGCTTGGAGATAAATGAAGTAAACCCTAAACAACATGTCTACCATTCAGTAGCATCATGGGACTTTTTAATAAGTTGTTACAAGACAAGCATCTGAGTTCTAATATTGTCAAGTAAATCATGACTGTCACTACGCCTTAGGATCGGTGAATATTTCATGAGGGTATTAAGATTCCTCCAGTTTTTTTCTTTTCTCTCCGATTTCATAGGTGTATTTTGTTTGGGTACAGAGTCGATGATTATCTACGAGTGCGTATCTCGACTAGTGAAGTCTGATATAGCTCGGTCATATTTCTCCATATTCCGTGGTCCAGTCTTTGTGAGAGCGTAGAGTATGCAAATATGACTGGCTGATTCCGAGGGTGATAATAGTCACATTTTTACTGCTTCTAGTGATGTTAACAATGTTATGAAGATCTGTTAACAACGCTGTGATCAGATTTATCCAACAGCCTTAATGTGCGAGAGATTATCAGAAGCTTAAAAGGCCAATTGTGTAGAATTTCATTTTCCTTTAAAGACTTTTTTTTTGATTTATGTACAGGAAATCTGATCCCTTGTAAGGATTGTAAAAGAACTCTGTGAAGAATATTTAATGTGTAATAGTTTTTAAAGAGGAGATATAATGTGTTATATTTTATATCCTATACATATGCAGCTTATTTTAGGGTAGAAATAAAAATGGAAGTGAAGGTTTTTTTTAATGTTCAAAATGTACCCATGTAATAGGAGAAAAGTTCGGGTTGAAACATCATCTCGTGGCCCACCCAAACCAGAGGGGGGTGCTGAGGGGAGATTTACAAGAAAGTGGATAGACGTTTGATAAGAAAAAGAGAAAAAGCGCACAAGAGAAAATTTAAACCTGTGTTCAGTAGTGAGGGTTGTGCGTGTTTGTTTTGAAAATCAAGGATATTAAGTTACGCTGAATTTTATACAGTCCTCTCTGATCAGTAAGATATTAACGAGAAGGAGGGAAATCCACGCTGGAGTTCAGGGCTAATTACCTTAAATTTGATAATAGCATGTACGTTAATAAAACATCCATCACTCCCATATATATCAATGAAAATATTCTAATTCAGCTGGATTCATCATCTAGTACAAGATGAATGAATTTAATGCTAATGTTTTACTTTTCTTTTTGCATAAAATAGTCAGTTTTTTTTAAAAAGTGTTATCATTGTTTCTTATGAATTGACACTTGATCTTTTTGTACTGTCCTGTTGAGTCGGTATGAGCAGTGTGGGAGACCCATTTAGGGTTAATTAAACACTTTCTTTGTCATTATCTACTGATCCCTCCCTCTCAGAACAACTTCTCTATTGTGTCTCTTTCTGCCCCCCTCCAGAGATTTGATTGATAGCAGTTAAATGGTTATAAGCTTTATTACAATCATCTGATATTAATTACATTAATTATGATAGGCCCATGGACTCTTTAGCTTGCCTGTGTGTACTTGTGTATATTTATTTTCAGAATTTAGATTTTAATTTAATTTGAATTAAAAAAAATTCTTTCAATCCAGTGTTGCAAAGCAAGATTTTTCAGAATTTATTTTGTAGATAAGACATTTGGAGTTATAATAAATTTTATATGACCTAAATTCCATGACTTATTTTTTTCAAGATATTTTTTTTGTATTTTGATGAAATTTTGCTTTGTTCCTTTTTTTTGTAATTTTTTCTAGTTCTTTTTTAATCTACCCAAATTTTCAGACAAGTAAAAAAGTGCCACAAAGTCTGTCTATACTCAGAATCACACTGACACACCAATAACTGTTAATTTTTAAAACCCAGCACCCTAATGGTTGTTTCCTCGTAAGACCCGCCATTTCTTCATGGAATTACTGGCCGTTGGCAGAAAGACCAGAATTCCTTGCTTCCACGACCGGCTGCCTATCTGGCCTCCTGTCGTCACTAGATTAGAGCTATGCACCGACAAATTATCATCTGATTTCAAAATTAGTTGATAAAAAAAGTTTTAAGTGTTTTAAAGCTTTTATCCTCGCTGTGGGACGTCACACTCAGCACATTGTTGTTGCGTCCCTGGGGAGGGAATAATGGAGGAAGCCCAGCTGAGCCAGGCAGGAAGCTGGTGTACTTTTTGAATTAAAATTTTAACAGGAAAAATTAAAAAAAAAAAGGTCTGCCAAACGTTTTTTGTGATGCATTTCGTGAGGGTAAAAAGCACATGCCAGGATGCTGTGTTGGCGTGCTTTTTTGTGCATTTTTATACACTGCTCTGCGGAAATGTTGTAAATATTGAGTTTTAATGGATGTTTCCCAGTGTAGGTACATTGAACTAATGACAGCTTTATTTTCCCAAACATTTCTCGTTTATCAGTTTATGAAACCCAACCCAATATCAATGGAGCGTACATTATCAGTAGGGCTGTCTTGCAGCAGATTATGATCATTATTTCTCTTTTTACGTTATTTTTAAGATGAAGAAAAAGACGTGGTATCTGTGGATGGAACGCAAGTTTACGCCAAGTCTCACGAAGAGGACCTGACCAAGGAAGGAGGTAGGCTGTCTGCCATTGTCCCTGAGATTCCAGGACTTAAAAGGACCACAGTCATACTATGGTTCTCAGACACAGCTGACAAGAGTCACAAGACCCAATTACTAACCCCCACCCCCCCATCCCCAAAGCTTCTGTACCCCAGAACAGAAACCTCCAGACCCAAGCAGTTCCCTTTGGCTCTCTGTCATTGGAGAAATCTTACCATAATGCTAAATCCAAATCCAGGGGGTGGGGGTGGGGGGGTAAAGATTAAGAAAATATTTTTTTCTGCCCTCTTCCCTCATTGAAGGGTCAATGATGCTAAACTAAAACTACAACTAAAATGTACATTTTTATCTAATGTTTATTTCACCTGGTTAACTTGTGAATTCCTGTCTGAGTGTTAGAAGCTTACAGCTTAATAAACAAAACATAAAGCCAATTCCTTCATATACATGATATGAAATTTATAGGTAAATGCAGGTAACTTGTAGTGCTTCCATGATTGTTTTCATCAAGTTGACTTTCGTCTTTCTGTAGCGTCCCCTCGGTTTACCAACCCTGAGAAGATGAAGAGGCAGAAGATTACAAGGCCGGTTAACAGTTCTCTGCGACTCCGATGTAAAGCCACGGGAAACCCGCGCCCCCAGATTACGTGGATGAAGGACCACCACGAGCTTTACCACCACGACGTCGGACGGAAATCCTCCTGGATCCTACGGCTGCCGGATTTACAGCAGACAGACTCTGGACTCTATACCTGTGTGGTCAGGAATCGTCTCGGGTCCATCAACTTTACCTACCATATAGAAGTCATTGGTAAGAATATCCTCACAAATGTTAATGAATTTAAACCATACCAAATTCTCCAATGCTGAATGTATTGTTTTTGATGAAAGAGAGGTGAAATCTTTTTTGTGCAAAAAATAATTTTAAAAAATTCCTACAATAATATTTGATATGGCCATCAGGTTGATATTATATAAAGGTACTTCATTGTAATTATTCTTGTTTTATTTGATTCTTTATTGGTTTGTATTATATTCCTGTTTAGTGTTCCATTAAACCTTGTGTTTCTTGTCTGAAAACAGTGTCAAATTGAAGATAGTTGAAAGATGAGAAATTGTGAAATATTCAGAATTAAGCGGAAATCTGGTTAAGAAAATGCATTAATTGAGAAATTATTTTGAAGCCCGAAATAATGGGTTTGAGTAATAGAAATTCTGTTCACTCCAAATAACTTGGCAGTGGGTGATGTGTAGTGGCCTCAAGCCATCACAAAAAAAAACGGATTTCTGCCTGCGGGCGGATTTGTTTTATACTGCGTGATGGATTGATTTTATATTCAAATTAATTCAATGAAAACTGCCCTTCAATTGTAAAAGATTTGTACAAAAAAAAAAAACAATGCAGAAAAACTTGTTTAGAATTCATCTTTAGGGGCCACCAAAATCACTAAGCATAATTGATATACAGAAGTTGGAACCAAATGGACATTTCATTGTTTTTAACACTATTTTAAAAATATATTACATTTTAAAAATAGAATATGTGAACATAGCGTGCTATAAATACGATACTAACAGAAGTCAATTTTAATGGTGAGGAAAGTTGGTCACAAGCTAGTTTAACGAAAATTTGATAATTGGTTTGCCAAATTTATATCCTGAGACTTTGAGAAGGCTATCCTAGGGTCCATTACCTGACTATACTCAGCCAAGTCATATAAAGCTGCATTACTGATGTTTACAGATAAGATAATGGCCAAGCCCGAGTTACTGGCGCCCCACCCCCTCAACACGACGGTGATGATTGGAGAGAGCGCTCAGCTACAGTGTCGAATCAACAGCGAGATGGAACCACATATTCAGGTACGGCTCTCAATCCATGTACAAATTCAGATATTGACTAGTGTACGACTCTCAATCAGTGTAGGAAACTAGAACAGTGTTCAGATATTGACCAGTGTACGACTCTCAATCAGTGTACGAAATTAGAACAGTGTTCAGATATTGACTGGTGTACCACTCTGAAATTTGGTGTTTAGGTCAGGTTCCGGGGCTATAAGACCTCAAAGAGCTCAATTTTGATCTGTCTTACTTTTACAAGAGTAATATATATGGTGGAAAAGTGAGACCGGGATAGAAATTGAGCTTATTTTTAGTTGTATTGCCTTGAAGCCGGGACTGATGCCTTGTGTTTTGATCAAAGGCCGGCTAGGTCTTCCATTACTTTGTCAACAGGCTATACACATTTAACGGGGCTCTGAAAATTTGAAATGTTGACAACTACAATTACGATAAAATTAAAATCAAATTCATAAATTCTCTGGCGGAGTTGATCTGGGATACATTAATTACAAGAGAGATTTTCCACACCGAACCATCTGTTGAACCGTGTTGCATTTTCAGCGTGAACATCTAAAACTTAGCTTTAGGAAAACTTCTTAATGGAATGTCCATTTGTTTTTACCTTTATAATGGGGAAATGTGATCCTAGCTAATTAACAACTGTAAAAACAGAGCAGCGTAGAGAAGGGATCACTCTCACAAACAGATGGGCAGGGTGAAGCGAAAGGTTAAAATATCTGTTCTGTGTTTAATTATAAACATACATTTTCTGATGTAGTTTAGATTAGGAGAGATGATACTTTTATTGCAGGCATTATTGTGTTTTAGATAAATTCATTTTCTATATCTCTAGGTCTTAAAACAAGACAGATGTTTAAGATCAAAATACATCTCAAAAATATAGTTTAATTTTGTCAAAATATGAAATAAGAGATAATCATATGTTGTTATTTTTAAATGTTAATTAAGACTGAATTTTATGACAGAGGAATTATGATTAAAACATAAAGTAGTGAGTAATATATACATGATGCTTTTAATAAAATAAGATGGAGCAATGTCTGCCAGAATAACTACATTTCTGAACCTCTGATCATAGTACAATTTTATATCAATAATTTTATATTAATAATTTGGTCTATCTCTAATTTTTAAATTATTTTCCTTAACAGTGGCTGAAGAGAGTTGACGACCCTAAATTCATGTCCAACAACTCTATAAAGCTAAAGGGGCAACCCTTCATCATCCTGAAGACGAGTGAAATCGGGAGCGGATCCGATGGCACGTACCTCAACAAATTTGTAATTCATCACGTGACGGAGGCCGACGGAGGAATGTACATCTGTCTGGCTGCCAACACCATGGGCTTCAGTTGGCGGAGTGCACATCTTATTGTTCAATCTAGTAAGTATAAATCTAGTATAGAAAGTACAAATCAAATGTATTCTTGTAAGTACAAATCTGATCTAATATAGTGAGTACAAACTTATTGTTCAATTGAGTAAGCATGAACCTTCTGAGGTCTGCTTAATACAAAACTCCAACTAAACTTCAGAATTAAAATGCTGAGCAATTTTCATATTTAACAAATCTGAAGACACAGTCCTTTATTCTATTTGTAGATCATCCTCATAACCAGTATGCCTACACGATTGACCGCAGTAACCTGAATATTCCTCTGGTTGTGGGTGTACCGGGCGGGATTCTTCTCGTCGTTATAGTCATTGCGTTCCTTTTCTTCCAACGTAGACGACGAGCTCAGTACCACCAGGGGTCAGTTGTGAACGGACCTCATTTCAACAGAGTTCCAACGCAGGACCCCGAGCCCTATCTGGGGGTCCCACACACGAATGATGTCAAAACAAACATTCACGTGAACCCCATACATGGACCACAACACAAAAACTTATATGCGGGCGTGCCTAGCCCCCATCTTATAGTGTCGAGTCGTGAAATGCTATCTAAAAATAGCCAGAGTATAGACTTTTACACAGACATTTCGTCCGTTTCACAGAGTCATCATAATCCGCATCATCACATGCAGCAGTATTCCTATAACGGACCCTGAACTCAGTCAGGAGTTCTAAAAATACCTCACTTCCTCTGTTTGACTACAAACAACTCACAGGATCTTGTATTCTGTGTGGAACAATGAGTCATTCTGATTGGTGGAGAAAAGCATTGCAGTCATGGAAGTCTACCTGTGATTGGATAAAACATTTCATTGATACAAAGAAACCTGTGATACATACTTCAAGTCACTGACCAACTGGTGCTGTTACTCAGGTGTGTTTGGGTGGAAATACTTGGTATGACAATGGGCACAAATTGTACTCCATAAAAACTACCCAACTGATATGTGAAATTGACACAAAAACCTATATGACACAATACTATGCTTGAGACTGCATTCTGTGATAAAAGATAGGGCCATTAAAGGAGAAAGTTTACCAAAGATTCCCACTGTCTTGGTGTAGACCTGAGAAAAAAAAACACTTCAGACATTGCATTTTTCTATGAAGCAAGTGAATAACTTCAATCAGATGTCCAATCAAGCATTGTGCCAGTCTGAGAATAAAAGGAGAGTGAATGGAGTCTGTATAAGATGTGATTGTTGTATGTATGGATAATTGATCAGCTGTCTAAAGAGTTGGATGTATATGTGTGGATACTTGTTCGGCTGTATAGATAATTTTTTGTATATATGGATACTTTGGATACTTGATTGTCAGTTTTGCAAGTGGTATAAATGGATACTTGATAGTTAGTTTGGATGTTGTATGCGTGTGTTTGGATTGTGTAAGGTATTATATGTTATGTTAAAGAATGACTGTCCATAAATAAGGACTTTTACCTGTAAGAGTGCAATCTGTATTCATAATGATCTTGTTAGTGTATGGGAGATTGTTTCTTTGTAGATATTCTACAAACTGATTGTTGTCAAATTAATCTTGTAATGGGACAGAACTGAGACCCTACACACAATACATACAGTACATAGGTGTCTCTAATTAAGTGCTCTTTTTATACACCTCACAAATCTACACACCTGTAATTATTTCTACTCTTCGTTTACAATTTACAAGCCCTCTATATTACCTGTTTGTATCTAGACAAATCTTGTTTCTGTCTATAATGCCTGGAATTTCTGTTTTTAAATAACAAGGGATTCTCATGTCTTAGCTTTGGAATGGGGTCATTTTTGGAAATTTTGACAGAGAAACCTTGATATATGATGACATTTCATCTGTACCTTTATACATGGTTTACAGTTATCAACTGTTCCTTTTGAGTTTAGATTGTACAAGAAAATCCCAGCTGACTTAAGACTTCATGTTTTATTAAACTTCTTGTCAGTTATGAGGGTTGTAAATTTTGTTTTGGACAAATTAACTCTGGACATGGCTTTTCATTTGAAATTTTCTTTTGCAGCTTTCTGTTTTTATGTTTTAAAAATATAAAGGACTTGTTAAATTAATTTTAATTTCATACTGTACAACAATTTTTTTATTATGAATTCTTAAATCATCAAATAAGGACACAGTACTACACATTTTCATTACCTTCCAAATGATGTAAACAGAATTGATAATTTTTGGCAATCCTCCCTTCCCCGAAATGTATGTTAATTTGAAGTATTTTGATTACTCTTACTGAAATGAAAATATGTGTACATCTGGTTAAAAATAAATCTACTTTGAAAAAAAAGGCAGCAAAAATCTCCTCAGTTCTGTCAAAGGAAAATTTCTCCAAAATATAGCAACATGTTGCTGGTGGCTTTAACTTTTCATCAAATTATTTGAGATTTTAAATATTTCCAATTTCATTAACCCTAGGAAGGGTAAAATATGTTTTTTTTTTTTACTACATTATATTGTTTTTGATAATTGTTTTGTTAATGTATAATGACATTTCTGTTAAAGCATTATGTATGGAAAGAGAGACAACTCTTGCAAAATGTTTCTTTTTTTTTTTTTGAACAGGGTAAAAATTGTTCATAATATGTTGTACACAAGTGTACCAGTAAACTATAATAAAAAATATAAATCATTGAAATTGTAGTATTTTCTTTGTTTATTTAAGAGCCAGTCTGCTAGAAAAACATGCAAAATTAACAAAATCATTCCAATTATGGAAGGTTGCAACTTGGGAGTTTTTAGTGGCTCAAAATTTTCTACATATTGGTAGAAGTCAGAATATCCACAAAAAATGTCGAACAGCTCATTTGCATATTTGTCGAAAATCACATAAAAATTAATGGAAAATCTATACAAAATGAAATTCATCAATTCAAAAAGTTACCTGCTTCTGTCATTATAATTAGTTCATTTATAAATTTTGTTTTATTTTCAAAGTCATGGTCCAATTTACACAATGAGGAAAAACTTAATTCAAATGAATTTTTAAAATTTTTTTACACATCTATTTAAAGACCGTAATTCAATGGGTGTGATTTTTTTTAGCCATTTTTAGATGCTCGTTTCTCTCAAGACCAAGTTTAAGATTAAATTAAATTTATTATTACGTAAAGAATGATCTAAGGTCTACTTTGATTTAAAATATTGAGTTTGGGAAATAATATATACACGTTGTAAATTAACTTTGAAATACCATACTTTGCTACAATTTCACATATTTTAAATATCAGTCTATTACCATATCTATGGACTATTTCTATGATTTTTAAATGAACAAGGTGTGTTTGTGAAACACTGATGCCCCCGTATGGCAACAAATTAGCGAAGATTAAACTTTTCTTAAATGCAAACTCACTGGAAATACAGCTCTGAAATATGAAATCAGGCCAGGGTAAAAAAATTTCATCAGTTTGGATATATTGGTCTCCAATAAAGAGTCTTTTCACAAGGATAAATATGTATAGTATGAGATCATTAGCCCTTAGCATTCAAAAGTTATGGCCAAGGTTAAAGTTTTTTCATAAGTACAAAGATCTCCAAAGTCAAAAGGTCAAGGTAATTGGTATCCAATGAAAGGTCTTGCCACAAGGAATACGTATGTGAAGTATGGAAGCCCAAGTCGTAAACGTTCATAAGTTATGGCCAAGGTTAAAAAATTAAATAAGTAGGTCAAACTCCAAGGTCAAGGTCATAGGGTAAAAGGTCTTGCTATCAAATGAAAGATCTTGTCACAAGCATTAAATATGTAAAGTATGAAATACTAGTCTTAACCCTCTAAAAGTTCTAGTCAAGGTTTGCTTTTTTAAAGTAGGCCAAACTCCAAGATCAAAGGGTCAAAGTTCTTGGTATCCAATAAAGCATCTTCTCACAAGGATTACATATGTGAAGTATGAAAGCGCTATCCCTTACCGTTCAAAAGTTATGGCCAAGATTAAAGTTTTTTCATAAGTACAGAAATCTCCAAGGTCAAAAGGTCAAGGTTGTTGGTATCCAATGAAAGGTCTTTCCACAAAGAATACATATGTGAAGTATAAATGTCCTAGTATCTACCGTTTAAAAGATATGGCCAGAGTCAAAGTTTGGAATTTTTGTGTAAAAGTGGGTCAAACTCCAAGGTCATTGTCAAAAGGTCAAATTTGGTGGTACCCAAAGAAAGATCTTGTCTCAAGGAATATACATGTGAATTATGATCAAAAGTCATAGCTCCACTAAATCAGAAGTTATGAGCATGCAAGGTTCAAGTTTTTGCGGACAAACAGACAGCTAGACGGACGGGCACGACAAAAACTATATACCCCCGACACTTCGTTTACGGGGGCATAAAAAGAGAAGAATCCTAATATAATATATTTTTAGAATTAGGAATAACCGATTTGGATACTTCATATAACTTTCTTTTGCTTTTATTAGCCCCATTAGTTTCAAGTTTTTATTTAAGACAAAGACCCCAACTGGGGTTTATGAATACAAATAATACAAGAACATATCAACAAGAATGCATGAAAGAATGAGTGTAATTTACAATTCACATGTATAGTTCAAATAATAATAAAGTATAGATAGTTTTCGATGGACCTAAATTTAGCAAAAGTTATACCTCCTGTTGGTCGCCATATTGGAGGTTGACTTGGTGAGTTTTCCTCTTTGTCTTACCAAGTTTAAGAAAATATAGCAGAAATATTTTTATACCCCCCGCTTGAAAAGCGGGAGGGTATATAGTAATCGTTAATTCCGTCCGTCTGTACGTCCGTCCGTCCGTCCGTCTGTCCGTCTGTCTGTCCGTCCGTCTGTTACGCTTTGGGGTACCCATCTCTTATCCGCAACTCCTCTCATACCACTGAATGAAATTTGATGCAACTTTCACAGAATCTTTATTACATATTGCCATTGTGCACCTCTTATTTTACTTTTTGATCCGACACATATTTTGGGTTTCCCGGCCACAGGAAAACATAGACTTTTTCACCAGTTATAAACATATGGGAGGCGGGGGTATCATTTAGTGAGCTCATCGCTCACAGTACCTCTAGTTTGTTGGAAAATCTTTATCAAATATTTTTTTGAAAATAAAGGTGGCTTCAAAAACTTTAAATACTTCAGTCTAAATATAATGATTCCTAATTCAAAATCGCAAATATAAAAATATAAAAATTTAAATAGGTTGAACAATGAGCATTTGGACCTCCAGTATGGCGGCCAACGGGAGCATAGGCGTAGTCACAGGGGGGGCAGCGGGGGCACTAGCCCCCCCACTTTCAGATCTGGGGGGGCAAGAGTATGTCTGTGCCCCCCTCCCCCCACTTTTTAATGAAGAAGAAAATCACAGGTATTTTGAAATAATATTAATACATAGTTGTATAATAAAATTGTGTAGAAAAATTGAAATATTGAAATTGAAAGTAACTTGCCTTTGAAAAAGAAGTTGGCCACTACCCCCCCCCCCCCCCCCCCCCCCACACACACACACACACACGAAATAGGATTTTCGAGTTTGGGGAACTTTCATTTTTTTTTTATTTTTTTTTTATTTTTTTATTTTTTTTTTTTTTTTTTGTTTTTTTATTTTTTTTTTTTTTTTCTTTTTTTTTTTTTTTTTTTTTTTTTGCTTGTCAAAGAATTTTTGGACTGGAGCCCCCCCACTTTTAAGTTTGTGACTACGCCTCTGGGGAGGTAACTTTTGCTAAATTTCGGTCCATCGAAAACTATCTATAGAAGGCCTAACTAAAATATATGTATTAAAACATTTGTAACATAGTAGTTTTGGTATTAATACAATCTAATTAAAATCTGACTTCTTAGATCCGCGCCGTGTACACTCTGCGTACTTTAAATACATGTAACATTAGTGCCACTCATTCCTTCGTGCATTCTTGTTTTACATTTACAAGTATATCTTGTATCATTTGTATTCATATACCCCAGTTGGGGTTTTTGTCTTAAATAAAACCTTGAAACTTCTTGGTCTTCGGGCAACACGGAGCAGTCACATTAATATTCCTTGGAACACGGATGACTTGGATAAATAACACAAAAACTCTTTCTTTCGAAATCAGCAATATTTTTCATAGATCTATATTCAGATAGGTGACAACGCACTTTGAAAATTTTTTTCAAAGTACGTTAAATTTGGGACCAAGCTAACGCAATTTGAAAACAATAAATTTCTTTTCAAAGTGCGTTAATATCGACCTTATTAACGCACTTTGAAAAAAAAACTTGATCAATGTTCTTACAAATAATTGGTATGATATATAATTGACCCTGGTTGGATAACTTTTTTTATGATGAGGTCACTTCAGGACATGATCAGATATTAAATATTTAAATATTTTAGGTTTTGATATATGTTATATATAAAAGGGAAATGGGTCTTTTAGAAAAATAGAGAGATGATTGTTTAATATCATAATTTCGTTTTTAGTCTGTAATAAGTAGATGTATAAAAAAAAGGGGGGAGGGCTAAAAGTGAATTACTTAAAGCATTGAATTTAACTGTAGAAAAATGTGACAATTTGATTTTTTAAAACTTTGCAAGTTCTTTCTCTCTCATACGTTTTGCTACACCTAGAATTTATAGTTTTCATCTCTTTTAAGTTAACTCATTTATTTAAAGTTTTCAACGTCATACAGTTATGTAAATACATATATACATGTTTTGGGTATAGCATAGGCATCAGAACCGGGTAAAGGGCAAGGAGAGGGGGGGGGGGGGAGGCTAAGCCCTCCACTTATTTTGGAAAGATATACATCATATAAGCATTGAAAATGCGCCTTACCCTATTTTTGGTTTATTACTCCCCTTTCCCCGTTTTAGTTGTAACATGTACCGACGCCTATGTATTGGAATGATAAAGATTTGGACTGATAGATCTTCTATCCGTCTTTTCCTCTTCTTGACGGGAGTAAATCAATGCAAAAGTTTTTTGAAAGACAAATTACAAATAAAATCTTTCCATTACTAAAATCTGATTTCGGAATTTTTGTCTTTGCATATTTTTTCAAAGTGCGTTTAAGTGTCTCCATGGTAAAATATAATGATGTAAACTCTTACCGCACTTTGAAAAAAATTTTCAAAGTGCGTTGAGTTGGTCCCAAATATAACGCACTTTGAAAATTTTTCAAAGTGCGTTGATTTTGTCCCAATTTTAACGCACTTTGAAATTTTTTTTAAAGTGCGTAATTTTTTCAAAGTGCCTTGCCACATGAATATATCAATCTATGCATCAAAATTTTGTTTGTGTTATTTAACGTTATCCTAAAAAGGTTAGATATTCACAAGTCGGACAATCACCGCCCGATCATCGAGCTGTGAGCTACAGTTTGATTTTACCGTCGGCCGAAATTTTGGACACCCTTATTGTCATACGACGGATGACTGACCGCCGATGGTCGGGCAATGGTCGAAGGTTGGTCGACGGATTGCTTTAATTGAAGAAATCGCCCACCGACGCTGAAAAAATTATGACTCAATGGACCGATGGACACAAAATTGGTCGGCCGACAAAAAAAGAGGTCAAAATCGAGCAAGACAACGGCCGATGAACTGCCGACTGTTACCCAAAGTTGTGCTTCAAAAACCGTCGGCCGTTGGTCGTTTTTGGAAATGTGACTGGGGTTAAAAACTGAGGTGTATGGAATGTAGAGTTCTATATTATCCTGAGTACAGATATGAAAAGGAAGGTTTAGATTCTGAAATGAATATGTTTTCTTCTCAAAGTCTAGAGCTTAAAAAATTACATTTCATTCTTATTTTGGTGAATTGATAAATGAAAATCAAGAGTAAAATCTTTGATCAGCATTTTGAAAAGTATAATTATATATGAGAAAATCATTGATACGATTTAAAGAAAACTCTTTACAAATATTTTGCAATATTTTGAAAATCGACGGAGTCACTTGTAAGGAAGACACACCATTCTGCTATGACAAAAGTTGTGCGTACGTGTACACGGCTAATAGGTAAGGAATACAGAGTTCTATATTATCCTGAGTACAGATCTGAAACGAAGGGTTTAGATTCTGAAATGAACGTTTTCTGCTCAGAGTTTAAAGCTTAAAAATTTACATTTCATTCTCATTTTGGTGAATTGATAAATAAAAATCAAGTGTAAAAAGAAAAATCTTCGATCAGAGTGTGTAGTTTTGTTAGTTCTGACTGAGATTGAGTTAGAGCATTCAAAAAGTATGATTATATCTGAGAAAATCATATTGATATGATTTAAAGAAAACTCTTAACAAATATTCTGCAATATTTTTGGTGCGGACACTTTTTCAGGGGGGGGGGGGGGGAGACTAATATTTATTGAGTATTGATGATGACATCGATGACGAGTCTGACATTTGGGATTCACTCACGGACAGAACAGTTCTTGTTGTGTCTGTTGAGAGAGGAGTTCTCTGCTAATGTGAGGCTAATTGAGGCATTTGTCTGAAATAACTCAAAATTTGAACTTGTGAAAATGTTTAAATTGACTGAACATTGATTTTCATTTTAAATATTAAAGCAAAGTGGCATTGAGACGTTTTGTTCTTTTTGGTCAGAAAACGTAGCATAATAAGAGCACTAGTATTATCTCATTAGAATTGGTCTGTAGGATCCTTTTATCTCTAACGTTTACAGGAAGACAGCATGTCCTGGACACGACAAAGCTAGCCGTATCAGAGTCATCTGGGGTAAAGTCATCCGATCTCACGGAAACAGCGGAGCTGTACGAGCTAAGTTCAGGAAGAATCTGCCATCATCAGCCATGGGAAAAAGAGTCAGAGTCGTAAGTCTTAACAGCTTTGGCATATTTGCTAGCTAAGGTTGGATTTGCAATGTATCCCCCTTTCTCAGCCTTGGCTGATTTAGTTCAAGCTTTGAAGGTCTAGGACATCCACTCAAAATGCCTGACACAGAAGCTTGTTATACCCTTCTTCTTTGTCCACTTAATTGTTTTCTTTTTGGTACATAGTTTTTGTTGCCAAGAATGATAACTTTATAAATGCCTACAGTACTATTATACCATCTAAATCTAGTCTACCGGGGCGAGAGATGTGAAGATACGAATTGGACACTGGACTAGCTAAGATGCAGCATAGAAATAAATCTTGTATTTAGTGTATTGATGATGACACTTGATGACGAGTCTGATAGAGAGTTACTTCCCTTCACTCAACAGTTCTTGTTTGGTGACCAGGGTTTGGGCTCTTCATTGTATGAGGCTATTGAGGCATTTGTCTGAAATACAGATACATTTAACATCAAGAGGAAAGTGATATTTGTGGTTTTGTAATATTTCATTTTATTATATACCTAATGAGTATCACCCAATTTTACTGTTGAATTTACACTATCACGTGAGTCGTGATCTGATTTTCCGGATCACCAACATGTTGTTTTCTGAATCCATATCACCACTCTCTGAAGCTTGATGAGGCAGTAGGCAGAAATATGATGTTATTTTTCTTGCGCATTAAAAAGTCCATTGTTATTATGCCTTTTTTAATGGATTAATATTATCCAATTTATCTCTAAAGGTTTATTTTATTATTTTGATATATTTAGCCAGTTATAAGGGGGTATATAATAAATTTATCATTATATCAGTAACTTGATCCGAAGAGCCGCATCACGTCTCGTTGACAGGCGCAGGGGCGAATCATCAGATCAAACTCGACGCTTCACGTCTTGTTAGATCTGATGATCCGCGCCTGTCAACTCTATGTGATACGACCCATCGGATCAAGTTACTGTTATAATAATATATATGGATCAGTGGTCCAAGAATTGTAGCTTTTAATTCCTTTGATCACATTTACAAGGGTAGACAAGAGAAGGTTTGTACGTTTATGTAGTTTCTTTTGCAAAATAAAGCATACATAGTTAACAAACAAAAATTCATAAAATTTGATATGACGATGTATTATGTTCAATTTCTTCCTAGTTAATTCAAATCACATCTTCCCCCACCTATTTTAGGGGTAGGTTAGGACCACTTATACATTAAAGATTTTAATATGCATTAAAGATTTTAATATACATTAAAGATTTTAATACTTGATTGATTTTTGCTTCTTTCCTAGCCACAGTGCTCAGGTGAGCAATGTTGCCCATGGGTCTTTTTTTTTTAAAGAAAATATATACGAAGATTTGTTGCCTAGAATGATTCTTTATAAATGCCTTCAACACTATTATACCATCTAAATCTAATCTACCAAAGTGAGAGATACAAATTGGACACTGGACTAGCTAAAATGCAGCATAGAAATAAATCTTGTATTTAGTGTATTGATGATGACACTTGATGACGAGTCTGATAGAGAGTTGCTTCCCTTCACTCAACAGTTCTTGTTCGGTGACCAGGGTTTGGGCTCTTCATTGTATGAGGCTATTGAGGCATTTGTCTGAAATACAGATACATTTAGCATCAAGAGAAAAGTGATATTTGTGGTTTAGTAATATTTCAATTGATCAATGACCTAAGAACTGTAGAATTTAATTCCTTTGATCTCATTTACAAGGGTAGATTGGAGGAGGGTGGTATGTTTTTTGCAGTTTCTTCTGCAAAAAAGAGCATAAATGGTAAACATTTAAACAATAAACTTTGGAATGACAATGGATTAAAATTTTTCAATTTCCTTCTAGTTCTCTCTACTCCCTCCCCAATAAAACTGTATGAATGATTTAAGCCGTGCTCATTTATTTTTGCCACCATAAGCCTTTTTGACACTGCCAGCCTGAAATGAATATTATTAGATAGATTGTAAAAAAAAAAATAGAAACGTTGACGTTGAATGCCAATTCCATGTAGAAAGTTGGAATATAATATAATATTTACATCCACTGAATATCTCCTTTATTTCTTAAGAAACCCATTACTGTTAATCAGTGCATGAACAACACTATAAGCATATCAACTCTATTGATTTTTTGATCAATGGCTGTTCCATCGATGAAATGTACAGAGACGGATGTATCATTTACAGAATTATAAAAATGTCTTTCTTTGGATGTTAGTACGGGAATGAATGTCGGAGCTATTGCAGAAAATATTTTACATAACCCACTTCCGAGGGTTATGTATTTTTCTGCAACAGCTGCGACATTCATTCCCCAACTAACAACCATTAAGAAAGCATTTTATTAATTAAATAAACTGATTCTATCAAGTCAACAATATTGAACTCAATTTATAAAAATTTCTTTTTGTATTTTTTCTGTGTCATGATGATAACAATTTGGATTATGTTTTAAGTGGTAAAAAGTATTTTTTTTAATGAAATATGCATTATGGGAAAGACTATGTAATTACATTTGTGGAAACCAAGGCTTAGAATTTTCATACCGTCATTATTCTCGAGTTGCTTTCAATCTCATTAAAATTGATCAAACTATCTTATTGACGTTGCAATAAATTCCCATAAACTGAAGCACTCACATTTTTTTAGCTTTCAAGAGAATTAAGTATGGTTATTTAACTGCTTCTTGGAACTTTCTTTGATTTTCCCTGGTTTTAGTAGATCTGTTCTTAATAAGAAAATAATGCCATGACTGTTCTTCAAGTATTTGTTGTTGTACCAAAACCTTTCAACAAGTAAAACAACCTTTAAAATATTTTGCTTTTTTATAATGACATGTATTTTTTGTACGTTGTTCATCCATACTGACTTGTGTTTCTGTTTTTATTTTTAGATGCTGTACCCATCAAGGATATAGAAATATGTACAAATGAAAAAAATAAATTTAAAAAAACCCTAAATTTTGTTTTGTATGCCAAAACACTTTTTCAGCTTATCTGACCATAAAGCTCAATAGGCAATAAACTTTTACGTAGAAATTAGGGATGTCAAAATTGTCAATAATTGATATTCGAATATTCGATCGGAGTATTCGAATATATTCGAATATTCGATAAAATAAATACATCTTGTATTATTAGATATATCGTATCTTCACTCTCCTGTCAGGTAGTTTAGAATTTTTGCCATATTTTGGAATAAAAACTCATGTAGAGTTAGGAAAATACACTGCAATTATATTTTTTTTAAAAATATTGATTAGTATACATCCCAAAAGTAATGATTGTTTTTACAAAATTAAAAAGATTCTTTAGTATGTTCCAGATTAATTGATCGTCTTTTTAAATTCTACACTGATAACTTCTAAAAATATATACCAAGCAGAACAATTATCTAACGGTGAAATATTAAAGCAATTTTTTGCTAAATTAATTATGATTTCCTGATAATGATTTTTAATGATATTTACATAAAAAGGGGGTCTGTGTGTTTACTGTAAAACTATGTCCTTACAACAATACAAGCTGATTGTAAGTACTGGAAACTTTTATATTACTAATTAAGTGAACAAATAAATAAATTACTCTAATAGATACACTCTTCACACCTTAAAGGTAATCCAAGAGGAGTGTGATTTTTTTTTTTATTTTGTACAAACTTGATTCAATTTCTAATAAAACTTGCCAGGTTTTTCTCTCTTTTAATGCTCGTACACTTAAAAACGAATATTCGAATCATAAATTTATATTCGAATATCAACTCATCGAATGAATATTCGAATATTCGAATATTCGTTGACATCCCTAGTAGAAATATATATACATGTATTAAAAACCTTTTTAACTAGATGTGTTTGTGAAACAATGATATGGCAGCTTGTTGCAAGGGTTGAATTTTTAGATTATTTGTGTAAAATAATGCTATCTGTATTCATTCCTCCGGGCATTGTGCTTTGAGGGTTGATAAAAAATCTTTCTGAGATTTCATTGTGATTTGATAAAAGTGAACAAAGGTGTTCATTGCGGGATAAAAAATCTCCAAACAATACAGATTTGTGAAGAGGACGTAAACATTGCTCCTTAAAATTCTATAGATTGGATAAGATGCATTGTAGGAGTAAGCTTCCCCTCCCGATCGGTCACCTCTGCCCTGGGCCCTATGTATAAGTCAGGTTGAATGAACACACACCCGCCCTGGGCCCTATATATTAGTCATGTCGACGGAACACACACCCGCCCTGGGCCCTATATATTAGTCAGGTCGACGGAATACACACCCGTCCTGGGTCCTATGTATTAATCAGGTCGACGGAACACACACCAGTCCTGGGCCTTATGTATTAGTCAGGTCGATGGAACACACACCCGCCCTGGGCCCTTTGTATTAGTCAGGTCGACGGAACACACACCCGCCCTGGGCCCTATGTATTAGTCAGGTTGACGGAACACACGCTCGCCCTGGGCCTTATGTATTGGTCAGGTCGACAGAACACAAACCCGCCATGGGCCCTATGTATTAGTCAGGTCGATGGAACACACACCCGCCCTGGGCCCTACATATTAGGCAGGTCGACGGAACACATGCTCGTTCTGGGCCCTATGTATTAATCAGGTCGATGGAACACACACCCGCCCTGGGCCCTATGTATTAGGCAGGTTGACGGAACACACGCCCGCCCTGGGCCCTATGTATTAGGCAGGTCGACGGAACACACACCCGCCCTGGGCCCTATGTATTAGTCAGGTCGACGGAACATTCCGAGTGGATATTCAGTTCAGATTTTAATCTTGAATTGCATCCCTGAAAGTTATGGATGGCCTTTTTCATTTACATATTATTAGTCAATGAAAAAGAAGACGTTTACACCTTGTCAGAATGGATTAAATGAATCAGATCCATGTTAAAGTCGCGTATTAAAAGATCGAGGGGCAATATGTAAACCGTCTATCCTTCTGTGTTCAATAATCCAGAAGTGAAAAAAAATTAGATTACATGATCAGTATGTATTAAATGGTCCCTGTCGACAAAGCAGGTAACAACATGGTCTTCGTTCGTAAGTTTCATTATTTTAGAAGAGCTTGGATTTGATTCTACAAGTGGTACTCTTCTTATACCCATACTTCCTTTTCTAAGGAAGAAATTCTTCAAAATCATGTCAGTTTTAAATATTTTTAATATTCATTATTCCACAGAGCCAAAATGAATTTGAACTACCTTATATATATTGGATTCCGAAACTTAGTCCGTCTGTCTGTCTGTCCGTCCGTCTGTAAACTTTTCACATTTTCGACTTCTTCTCAAAAACCACTGAGCCAATTTTGACCAAACTTAGTACAATGCATCCTTGGGTAAAGGGGAATTTAAATTGGTAAAAAAAGGGCCAAATCTCTTCACAAGGGGAGATAATCAAGAAAAGACAAAAATAGGATGGGGCCATTAATAAATCTTCTTAAGAACCACTGGGCCAATAAGGCTGAAACTTATGTGGAAGCACCCTGGGATAGCGTAGATTCTAAATTGTTCAAATCATGACCCCCGGGGGTAGGGCGGGGCCACAATGGGGAATCAAAGTTTTACATAGAAATATTTAGGAAAAATCTTTGACAATCTTTTTCTCAAGAACCACTGGGCCAGAAAAGCTGAAACTCATGTGGAAGCATCGTGGGGTAGTTTAGATTCCAAATTGTTCAAATCATGACCCCCGGGGGTTGGGCGGGGCCACAATGGGGAATCAATGTTTTACATAGAAATATTTAGGAAAAATCTTTGACAATCTTCTTCTCAAGAACCACTGGGCCAGAAAAGCTGAAACTGGTGTGAAAGCACCCTAGGGTAGTGTAGATTCTAAATTGTTCAAATCATGACCCCCGGGGGTAGGGCGGGGCCACAATAGAGAATCAATGTTTTACATAGAAATATATAGGTAAATTCTTTGAAAATCTTCTTCTCAAGAACCACTGGGCCAGAAAAGCTGAAACTTATGTGGAAGCATTCTGGTATAATGTAGATTCTAAATTGTTCAAATAATGACCCCTGGGGAAGGGCGGGGCCACAATGGGGAATCAAAATTTTATATAGAAATATATAGGAAAAATCTTTGAAAATCTTCTTCTCAATAACCACTGGGCCAGAAAAGCTGAAATTGATGTGAAAGCATCCTGGTATAGTGTAGATTCTAAATTGTTCAAATCATGACCCCCGGGGTTAGGGCGGGGCCACAATGGGGAATCAAAGTTTTACATAGAAATATAAAGGAAAACTCTTTGAAAATCTTCTCAAGAACCACTGGACCAGAAACGCTGAAACTTATGTGGAAGCACCCTTGGGTAGTGTAGATTCTAAATTGTTCAAATCATGACCCCCGCGGATAGGGCGGGGCCACAGTGGGGAATCAAAATTTTACATAGAAATATATAGGAAAAATCTTTGAAAATCTTCTTCTCAAGAACCACTGGACCAGAAAAGCTGAAACTTATGTGGAAGCACCCTGGGTAGTGTAGATTTTAAATTGTGTAAATTATGATCATTGGGGTAGGGTGGGGTCACAATATGTATTACAAGGGGGAAATCTGGTAAAGAACAATATGACAGAAGATTCTCAGGTGAGCGATGTGGCCCATGGGTCTCTTGTTTTATTTCATGATATTGACATGGAGCACATACCGGATGTGACTGGTCAGCAGGGGATGCTCACTCCTCCATGGCACCCAATCCCACCTCTGATGTTTCGGGAGGTCCGTGTTTGCTCTGCTCCTATTTTGTATTGTTTTATGGACTCTGAGATTGAATACTGTTCGTTATCTCCATATCCTTATCAAACGGCTTCAAGGAAATGCTTCGATCTCTTCATAGCACATCACTATTAAATTTAACAGAATATTAATAATTAAAAAAATGTGTCAGAACAATTACTAGAAATTATGCATGGCTGTAGGACCCAGGGAGGGGGAAAGGGTTGGGGGCGACCCCTCATAATTTTGTCGATATACTCAGTTCAAGGTATTGGTAAAAATCTTATCAAATTATTGGACTTAGTGCTATCAAGGAAAGAGATAGAAACTATGTAACTTGGTGTAAAAATGATTCCAGACTAGTTGTAAACGAAATACTAATAAATGTTTGATGAAAGAAAATTTTTTGATGTATGGATATTGGGCCATACAGAATAAATACTTTAGGGGTACCTTTTTCAAGGAACTCGATTTTTGGGGTATGTTTTTAAGATTTATATGTCGCCAAGTTTGCTTCATTGATAAGGTACTTATTTTGATTTTAAAAAAGAGATAAATAAAAAGCATCAAAAATTGACAATGTCCGTAAAAATTTTTGAACTTCCCTCGTTTATATTCAATGCAGATAACAGTAACAGCAACAAAAAAACACATAAAAACACACACACACAAAAAAAAAAAAAACAAATTCAAGGTTTGAATAATACAAAAGTTTACATATATAAAACAAAGTGTTTAAAATAAAATTTTAAACTTTCAAATACGAATAATTAGAAAAAAAAATTAATTCTTAATTAAAAAAAAAAAATTAGAAAAAATGACACAAGCATTTCATTGGTCCATCTCATTTTTTTGGTATATAAAGATTTCGGGGATATTAATGATTAAGAAATAAGGTATCATTTTTTTTGAGTTTTACTAGTATTTGGATGTAAAACATTTCGGTCACGTGATCAAATCCCAGGCTTTAGGGAAGATTTGATCATGTGCCAACCCGTTTTACATCCCAATAAAACAAAAAAATGATACCTTATTACTTATATTTACATTTGTGACTTATTTATACTTTAAATTTACCTGATTGTGACTTTTAACGTGTGAAATGCATTATTTTTCAAACCAAACCGCATGTATGTAACGCTTCGACCCTTTATGACGTCACTGAGAAATTACGTCAAACGTTTATCCATACGAGCATCTATGACCTCTCTACCCCGTACCTGTTTTATACAGTCATAAAAACGCTTGCTTTCAGTAGTGTTATATAAAGGAAAACATTTGCAAATGTAAATATTGGAAACACACGTGACACCAAAGTATTCACCCAGTGCCAAGTAGAATTGAACAAATGGTTATACTATATTGATTAATTTTATTAAAATTTGTTAAACATTGGATGAACATTGAACAACATGTACAACATGCAAACTAAAATTTCTTATGTAAATATTTATGTACATTAAAATACGATAAACAGCAAATATAAATCTATATCATTCACAAATCTAAATACTCAAATACATGTTTATTAATATTAGTGTACTGAAGTTTACCAGTCTAATCAAATAGCATGAATCAACAGAATATATTATTTTAGCCCAATTACGTCGTAGTATATAGTTCTCAGTTTTATACACCGATATATGTTATTTGAATCCTATCAAAAATATACCCTTCAGAGTTTTACATTAGGGTTAGGGTAATGTGTACGTTCATAGTAATTAAGACTTTATACTAGAAGTATATGGAGTTTTGTAAATTTTCTACACAGAGTATCGCCTTACATGTTTCTTCAACTCCTTGATCACTCTTGTGTACTTAAACACTTCTCTTTTCCTCTTATCCTTTCTAAACTTTCTCACCAGTCGTCGTATCCTCTCTAGAACAGACACCCCCTCTCTGTCTAACACAGAATCATACTCTCTGTACCTCACCCTGACATTGACATCCAACCCCGCCTCCAGGAGGAACCTTACCTTATCCACCAATCTTTTGTCAAAATCATACTCATCAATCAGTGTAAACAGCAGAGGTCTTACGTCAGACTCATTACTATCATACAGCTCTATCCACTGATTGACATCCAGACCCAAATATACAAGATGCTTTAAACCCTTACAATCACTTCCTATGATTGCCTCATATAAATCTCCCCATTTCTTCATACGCCACACTTGTCTCCGTGTCACCACCACGTCATCCTTACTATCAGTCATCACATCACTGTTTCTTATGCTTACCAAACACTCGAACAAATGTAACTTCAGTCTGTCTAACTGACTTTCATTCTTGGTTCCTAATAATTGTTTGACAGAACCAATTTTCTTTCTAATTAAAGCAATATAGAATGCTGATATACCTATGTTATTATTAATAGTTAAGTCTGCACCATAATAATTAAACATTTGTATTATAACAGGAATGTAAGTTTTATTAATGCATATCAACGCGTTATTGAGAGGGGTATTTCCTCCCTTATCCTGGATATTGACATCACTCCCTGCCTCTAGGAGCTTTTTGGCGATATTCATAAATCCATTCTTACATGCTGCTGTCAGTGGTGTATAATATTTTTCTTGAAGATTGACATCAGCCCCTGCCTTCAGCAGCTCTATAACGATATTTGTATGTCCCTTTATACATGCTGCTGTTAGAGGTGTAGCATATTTACCTTGTAGATTGACATCAGCCCCTTTCTGTAGTAACTCTTTAACTACACTCACATGTCCATGACGGCATGCTGCAGTCAGTGGTGTATCAATCTCATCTTGTAGACTGACATCAGCTCCTGCCTTAAGCAACTCCTTCACTACACTAAAATGTTCACTCTTAATTGCTGCTGTTAACGGTGTTAAATATTCACCGAAAGGATTAATATCAGCTCTTGCCTTAAGAAGCGTTTTAACTACATTCAGATATCCACTATCACATGCTAGTGTCAGTGGTGTAAAAACTTCAAAACAGGACACCCCCGACATCGTTCCATCACTGCATACTGTCCTTTTCATTAGTTCATAATATTTACCGTGTAAATTGACATCAGCCCCTGCTTTTAGCAGCTCTTCTACTACATTTTCATGTCCACTGCAACATGCTGCTGTCAGTGATGTATATGCGCTAACTTGTAAATTGGCATCAGCTCCAGCCTTTAACAGCTCCATAACAATACTCAAATTTCCACCAAAACATGCTGCTATCAGTGGTGTTTCATGTTTACTTACTAGATTAACGTCAGCCCCTGCATCTAGCAACTCCTTTACAAAACTGCTTTGTCCAATTCTACATGCTGTTGTCAGTGGTGTATAATCATACGTATCTTGTGGATTGACATCAGCTCCCGCTCTTAGCAAGTCCTTCACTATACTCATATTTCCACCCTCAATTGCTGCATTTAGAGGCATTGCTTTTGTATTTTGTGGATTGACATAAGACCCTGCCTCCAAGAGTTTTTTCACCAAATTTATATGTCCACCCCAACATGCAGCCGTCAGTGCTGTACAATCCCTTCCTATTAGATTAACATCAGCCCCTGATTCAAGCAACTTCTTCACTACATTCATATTACCATCATTACACGCAAATATCAGTGGTGAATTATTAGATTTACCTCGCAGATTGACACCAGCCCCTGCCTTGAGCAGCTGTTTCACAACACTCATACATCCCCCCTTAATCGCTGCTGATAGTGGTGTATCATCAGCATCTTGTTGATTTACATCAGCCCCTGCCCCGAGCAACTCCTTCACTATAGTTTTATATCCACCATTGCATGCTACTGTCAGCGGTGTATCAGAAACCCCTGTAGAGTAGTTGACAACACATTGATTAACATTAACCCCTTTTTGGAGTAAATTCTTCACTATACTAATATGTCCATATTTAACCGCTGCTGTAAGTGGTGTATCATACTTACCTTGTAGATTGACATCAGCCCCTACCCTTACCAGTTCCTCCACTATATTTATATATCCACCCTTACATGCTGATCTCAGTGGAGTATCACTAACATGAGTACTTTTAAAATTGACACCAGCCCCTGCCTTTACCAGTTCCTTCACTATATTTATATATCCACCCTTACATGCTGCTGTCATTGGTGTATCTTCAATACAACGACTTTGAATGTTAACATCAGCCCCTGTCCTCACCAGCTCCTTCACTAAACGTATATATCCATTCTTACATGCTGCTGTCAGTGGTGTACTAGAAAAACCTTGATGATTAATATCAGCCCCTGCTCCGAGCAACTCCTTCACAATATTCATATATCCACCTTTACATGCTGCTGTCAGTGGAGTATCAAATTCAAATTTACTTTCTGAATTAAGATCAGCCCCTGCCTCTATCAGCTCTTTCACTACACTCAGAAGTCCATCAATACAAGCAGCTTGAAGTGCTGTGTCACCTAACACAAACTTTAAATCTATATCTGGATAGGTCGTGTAAATTGTATTTCTTTTTAGATATTTAATAAATATTCTCACAGTTTCTACTGTCCCATTGTAACAACTCAGCAGAAGTAAGCGCTGCTGTTCAGAAATAGACCCATCAATGTCCAGGTATGTAAATGACCGTAATTTATCCACTTTATTGTTTGCTTCAATGTTCTTTTCCCCATCTTTTGTTGAATAAATGAAATCCTGATTAAAAAAATTCAAAAAAAGTTCAGTCTGCGTCTCTTTGTGTAATTCAGTTTGTTTTAAAATATATTGTAGGATCTGATTGTGTCCGTAGTAAACCACCCAACTGATAACCCTCACACAGTATGTTTTTTCTTTACCATCATACTCCTCATTCACCAACACCTCTTGTCTGTCCCACTCCCTGCTCCTCTCCACACTCTCCTCCCTCACACGCTCTCCTTTACTCACTACCTTCGACACATCTTTCTGTACTGACAGAAATAAAGACTTTAATTCTATGTAGGACTTTGTCTTTAACACCTCAATAAAAGCCTGACAAACATTTGGGTGTTTCAAAATATTGTTCATAAAAACATCATACAGCTCCATATTTTCTATATCCCTGTACAAACGCTCTGCTAACATAGAGTACTGATCCTCCCCTATCCTTATACAGAGATCAAATGACTCCATTCTATCACTATTTTCAGCACTCAAAGCCTCTTTCTTCCCGTTTCTTAAACTGTCACAAGCAGTGTTTATTTCATTTTTACCCCCACTATTGACTACAATAGTTTCCCTCACATGCTTATTTTCATTCTCTAATTTAAGCATTTCATCTTTTTGAAGTTTTACATAGTTAGCAATATAACTGCTACTCATAAATTGTAACATGATATTTGGGAACTGAGAGCCGAAATGATGGGCAATGATTTCAAACATGGAGTCATGAATAAAGGTATACTCAGAACCACAGAGTTTTGTGTATGTCCCCTCCATTACTGACAATGCATCAACAAATTCAAAAGCGTCGGTATTACTCTTAACTTTACAATTTTCTAATGCTTTTGATTTAATTTCACAGAAAACCTTATTCCCTGTGTCTTTTAATATTTCTGTTGATAATTTATTGTCATTTAACAGGCATAATATCAACGTAGCATATTGTAATCTATTTTGTTCCTTCATTTTATCGAATTCCTCTAAAATGTATCCAGCTGGACAGGTAAAAAATCTTTCAACATCGTTTCTAAATTTCTCCTCTTTTGAGTAGAGTTTACACAATAGAGGAAACATCGCCGATGCTTCTCTCAGTAATGTAGGGGACAATAAATCTTTATCCAAGCCGTGCTTCTGAAGAATGGCTTTTTTGTCATCATCATTCAATGCATTTTCTGAACTTAACATTTTGATTACATTTTCCTTATTTGAGAAAAATGACTTGTAACATTCATTAAACACTACTTCTCTGCATGACATCAGTACCTTTGTGTGTCTGGAAGGATCTGAAATAATTTTTTCATAGTCAACTAAAGTCTCCAACTTTTGTTTTTGAAGACCCAACACACCTACCACATCATCGATAACAAATACCTGAGGATTATTTGAATCAAAATAATCTTCAATTTTCCTAATATCAATTATTGGTACAATTTCGTAACCTTTCTCCTGGAGTATCAGGGCTATGTGATGAATCGTTGCTGATTTCCCGGATCCTGGGACTCCAACAAATGTCATATAAGGTTGTCCCCGGACTTTGTTTAGCATTTCCTGGAAAGTGTGACTTTCACTGTAAACCTCATCTTCTTCTCTCCATTGTAGTAATTGTATTTCATGAAGATCTGAAATTTATTATACCAAGCTTGAATGATACCAGTGAAGAAAAAGCAAACAGATACGTTCAAGTAGACGAAAAGGTCACGGACATTCATGGTCACTGTACTCTAATGGGTTTATTAAAAAATGTCCTTTTACACAAATCAAAAGTACATACATGCATTTTAACAAAACATAATAGGAGAGAGAGAGAGAGAGAGAGAGAGAGAGAGAGAGAGAGAGATGTTCTCACTGTTCAATTTACACGTGTATTTGCAGCTTAATGTTTATAATGATGTAATTCTATGGATTTATGTCAAATTACAACCTGGGTATTGATGAAATTTATTTGATGTATAATTTTTAAATAACATAATTTTGTTCACCTCCTATTCTAAATTAACTGTTCATTATTCTTTTTGTTTACTAGAATTATACGATTAATTTTTGTTCGTTATCTTAACCTTTTGTTAATAAGGAAATTGTTGATTGTTGTAAACCGTGAATCCCAACGTCTTTATAAGTGGCTTGCCTAGATTTTAAAATCAATCGTACTCGGTGCTTAATGGTTTTTACGAATGGAATCATTAGGAGACAAAAGCTGCCATATGCGGATGATGTTGAATTCCAAAACTACTTCTCTTGATTATTGATAAGAAAAGTTTACCATGGAAAAGCATTAGTAATCCAGATTGTCATACGATTTAGTTGTTGTTAAATAGCTATCATTCAAGCACCGAAATATGAAACGCAAAAAAGTGTAGATGATATGAAAATATGTGTATATTATTTAATGTCCCACTCGAGAATTTTTCACTCATATGGAGACGAAGATGACAATTTTTGACAGAAATTAAAATGCAAGATGTAATAAATATAAATTTTAAATATTTTTAAATTCAATTTATCAAACATATGAAACAACAAAATACTAGATTTGTACACACCCTTAATATTCTGAGGGATGACATGCTGTAGTTTCTTTAATTCATCTGAAAAATTAAATTAAATCAGATTTTTAGTTGTCTATTGATCGGCTTCTTTATCAACACCAGTTTGCAAAGTCACCAAGCAATATGTCATTATCTAACATTCAAATAACGGAGCTTTTATTTTAAGAAATAAATAACAAGTTTATAAATTATGGAAATTGATTGGGTCGGTCACGTGATCAAATCCTGTGAGAGCCGAATGTCTTCTTAGAAGATTTGATCAGGTATTGACCCACTTCAGTTCAATTTCCATAGAAGTTTATAAATTTGTTATTTATTACCTGTATGGGCAGCGGAAAGGGCAAAAATTACCATAATGAGAAAACAAACAATTAATTCATTTCAATGAATATAAAAACTGAACAAATGATATACAATGCATAATCAACAGACCTTTTCGCGGAACAAGTATACATTAAAACATAAAAAACGTACGTAACAAACATATATGAATGCAAAGCCAATGACCATCTTTGTAGTACACACGTACATAAAAACACGACAAACGAAAAAAAACATAACCAACGTGCACGTTGTAAATCTAGCCTTCTCGACTCCCGGTTCCCGACGGTATCGAATATTTTTTTAATTTCTTTTTTGTCGGTGCACAGGAACTCTTCAAACTTCTCAGGCACATTTTCTTTTTAAATGAATTCAATATTATGTAAAAACTTAAACAAATTTGGGTGTTTATTTCTGAATCAGCTGTATCACCTTCAAAAAGCGGTAAATGTAGTACTCCGTTATAAATATGAAAACCAAAAAACGGACATCGATACAGAGAGACGTAAGTGTCGTAAATAGTAAAGGTGCATGGGCACAGATTTGAAGTTAATATTTTCTGTATAATATTACGACTTATTATTTTAATAGCATTTCACACAAAAAATATATTAAAAAACTTATTTTATCTAAAAGATATTGAAACTTCAAATTTTTAGACGGGTTTGATAGACACATCTTTGCACTTTCACAAATTTTAATTTTATTTTTAATACTTAGCAAAAGAGGCAATTTTGTTTCAATAACTTTAAGACGAAATAAATTAACTTCAAATCTGTGTCCATGTATCTTTAAAGATATTTAAGGTATTGATATTGAGAAGATATTTCTTCTCAAAAAGATTGAATGAGTATTTCAGTGAAAAACTGAAAATTGGTGGTGTAAATAAAAAATAAACAATTAAATTCTATAAAAATTCATAACATCAAAATGCTTTGATTTCAAAAAAGATTTTTATCAAAATCTTCATAAAAATAGCTAAATCTAACATTGTACTTACGGTAAAATAATGCAAATTGAAAGTACTGCATTGTTATACATTGACGTAGCATCGTTTTTAAAAGTAGGGGGTAACTAAAGAAAAAAATTCAATCTAGCTGAAAAAAAAGTTTTAAAAACTTAACAAGCAAAAACAAAAAGGAAATTTAAATGATATAGCCCAAACTCGAAAATTGCGTGTGTGTGAGGATGATTCCATATAAATATCACTCATCATAGCTTTGAAGTACTTGAAAAGAAGATTTTAAAAGGTTTCCCTATATATCCCTATGTAAAACTTGGGTCAGTCATTTTGGCCTCACCCTAGCCACGGGGGTCATGATTTGAACAATCTTGAATCTACACTACCTTAGGATGATTAGACATGAGTTTCATCTTTCCTGTGGTAGTGGTTTCTGAGAAGAAGATTTCAAAAAAATTTTCCTATATATTCCTATGTAAAACTAGGGTCGGCCATTGGCCCAGTGGTTCTGGAGAAGAAGATTTTTAAAGATTTTCCCTATATATTCCTATGTAAAACTTGGGTTGGCAATCTTTCCTGTCGTAGTGGTTTTTGAGAAGAAGATTAAAAAAAAATTTTTCCTATATATTCCTATGTAAAACTAGGGTCGGCCATTCCGGCCCCACCCTTACCCCGGGGGTCATGATTTGAACACACTTGAATCTACACTATCTGAGGATGATTGCACATGAGTTTCATTTTTCCTGGCCCAGTGGTTCTGGAGAAGAAGATTTTAAAAGATTTTTCCTATATATTCCTATGTAAAACTTGGGTTGGCCATTTTGGCCCCGCCCTTGCCCTGGGGGTCATGATTTGAACAAACTTGATTTTACACTACCTGAGAATGACTCCACATGAGTTTCATCTTTCCTGGCCCAGTGGTTCTGGAGAAGAAGATTTTTAAAGATTTTTCCTATATATTCCTATGTAAAACTTGGGTTGGCCATTTTGGCCCCGCCCTTGCCCTGGGGGTCATGATTTGAACAAACTTGAATCTACACTACCTGAGAATGCTTCTACATGAGTTTCATCTTTCCTGTCCTAGTGGTTTTTGAGAAGAAAATTTTTAAAAAAAGTTCCTATATATTCCTATGTAAAACTTGGGTCGGCCATTTTGGCCCCACTCTTGCCCCGGGGGTCATAATTTGAACAAACTTGAATCTACACTACCTGAGGATGCTTCCACATGAGTTTCATCTTTCCTGGCCCATCGGTTTTGGAGAAGAAGATTTTTTAAAAATGCAATTAATTTTTTACAAATTTATGATTATCTCCACTTGGAAAAAATGGCGTGGCCCTTCATTTGAACAAACTTGAATCCCCTTCACCCAAGGATACTTTGTGCCAAGTTTGGTTGAAATCGGCCCAGTGGTTCTTGAGAAGAAGATGAAAATGTGAAAAGTTTACGACAACAACGACAACGACGACAACGACAGACGACGGACAAATTTTAATCAGAAAAGCTCACTTGACCCTTCGGCTCAGGTGAGCTAAAAACGGGACCACCCAGAGTCGGGAAGACTACATTTACCGCGTGCACATTGGTTAAGTTCTTTTCGTTTGTCGTGTTTTTATGTACGTTTGTACTGCAAAGATGGTCGTCGGTTTTGCATTCATGTATGTTTGTTACGTACGTGTTCGTTGGTTTTGCTTTTATGTATATTTGTTCTGCGAAAAGGTCTATTGAGTATGCATTGTATATCATTTGTTCAGTTATTATGGTCATTGAAATAAAATAATTGTTTGTTTTCTTATTATTGTAATTTTTGCCTTTTCCGCTGCCCATATACCTGTATATACATTTGTGACAGACAATTGAATATTTTCGGAAATAAATTATTGCACTAACCGTCTGTCGCAGATTTTGAAAAATGACGTAAAGTGTAAATCAGCTTGAACGGCGGTTACGCTTCGAATTCATCAAGATAAGAATTTTATTTCTAATGGAATATTTTGTGAAAGGTCATTTGTGATCAGTAATAGTGAACAGATTGTTGTTTAGGAATATTTTTATTCGAGAAAATTGATAATCAATGCTAATAAGACACAATAAGCAAATTCGAAGATCGATGATAATAAGTTGGAGGAATTTCGGTCGCCGGAAAGGGATGGATGGATAGGATGGAGGGAAACACTTGGCCGAGCCAAAATAATTTACAATCAAGGATATGAAGTAAACGAAGAACATTCAATATCAAAGTCCATGAAACAATACAAAATAGGAGCAGAGCAAACACGGACGTCCAGAACATCAGAGGTGGGATCAGATGTCATGAGGGAGTGAGAATCCCCTGCTGACCGGTCACACCCGCCGTGTGCTCCCTGTCTTGATCATTTGACAACTTATTCCATTATTAAAGCATTGAATTGACGAAATTTTTTCAGTTATTTCCCGATGATAACAAGGAGTATTAGCGGGTGTGACCGATCGGCCTGATGTTTTGGAGGTCCGTGTTTACTCTGTTCCTAGTTAGTTTTGTTTCGTAACTTTTGATCTTAAGGTCAAGATCTAGTAAATGAAAGGTGCCTACAGATTTATCAAACTTGAGAAATAAATTCCTTTACTGATCCTATACAACTTTAGCTTGGTCAAATAAGGTGTTTCGGGCTATAATTTGTAGGTAAACAAGATGAAAAACTGTATTTCAAACTGTCTTTTTCAACGAAAAAATAAGAAAACCAGTCATGAATTTGGGAGTATTTTTCATATTCGACAAAGGAAATGTACCCAGATTGCCTACAGTCTCTAAGAAAACGGTAATTAGTATGTTCATGGCCTCTTCTTTAAATCAATATCAAATTTAATATAGGTATCCGGTTTACTTTTCATATTATTTCAAAATGAATGTCATGAAAATACCGTATTTTCTTCATAATTCTGCTAAACCGGTAAAATACGGGAAAAAGAAAGTTGAAATTGACTATGACGTCATAATGGATCTAGCACCCAAAAATTAGTCTAAAGTTATTTACTAGATCTTGACCTTAAATAATGTTTGTTAACTTCATTTGTTTCACAGCAATAATCTCGTGACTTTTCATGGAGACAGGCACAGACATGATGAGTTCAAGTGTTTGTTTAATTGTTCCTACTTTAAGATTGATTTATTGATTGATTAATGTTTTACGCCGAATCGGCAATATTTCAGCCATATATCGGCGATTAAAAGTAGATCATGTGACCAGTTTTTTTAAGTTTTGGGTTTCACTGACGGTGTAACGTTGAATATTGACCCCAGTTGAAAATTGACCCAGGGGTCATTTTTCAACGTTGAATATTGAACAAGGGTGTTTTTTCAACGTTGAAAATTGAGACCAAAAGTCGTTGAATTCATACCCGGGGTCATTTTTCAACAGCTTGATATTTTTTTCTTATCCCCGACTTCAACGAGTTGAAAATGGACCCTGTTGAATATTGACCCCACCTCAGAGTTTGAACATTTTTTGAACTGGGAAGTTGTTTTACGGGATTTATCAGTATCTCTATATTTATATTTCGGTTTCAAATTTCCCCCTTTTCAAGAATAATAGAAATAAATCTATCATCCCATGTATATATGTACATTTTGATACACGATTTCAGTTATCTTCTTTCTAAAATCCACATCCATAAATAACTACAAGTACAAAACCATGAATAGGGCATAAAACAAAAATCCTGGAAATCTGGTGTCTAGAAACCGTCGGGAAAGTGAGCCGTATTATAGTGATCAGGCCCCGGGATCATGAAGCATCTTAAGCTTAAGTCAAAAAATGCCTTTAGTTAGATGCTGAAATTTTTTAGAGGTCATGCAGCCCAAAATGAAAATGCTTTCCGATTTTGTATCATCAGCCTGCTGTTGCATGCAAATTATGAGTTTCCTTTAACAAGTTTTAAAGATTTTATAGATAATTGAAATTTTGACTTAAGTCTAAGTCTGTTTCATGATTCCAGGGCCAGGTAGGCAGAACATCCCATCTAGTCAAATTCAGTATAAAAATTAACAAAATTAAAAGCCTAAAAATTAGAATAAAACACATCGCTTAAAATGAATCCAATGTTAGGTTATATTTGTGAAAAGATGAATATAGCGACCATAACATGAAAGTAATGCTGACTTTAAACTAGGTTGGTGAAATCCCTGTACCAAACTTATCTGTCAGCAGCCTGCCTCGGCCTAAAAACCGACCGTTTTCGGGCGCTGCATTTCATTTAATTTCCGGAAATATGCATAACATTTTTAAATTTCATTTCGACATTTGTTGTTCTTATTTCCGACATAATTTTTTTTTATTTCCGGAATTTACCTGTGCGGCAATTCAATGTTTTTTCAGTAAAAGAAAATGGAATATAAAAGTATTTATGCAAAAATATTAATTTAAAAAATATTTTATAGCGCTCGTCATTGCGAGCTCTTAAAGCAACGCCTGTGCGGAGAAAAAAAATTCGGACTATTGCACATTCATTCGATAGAATTTTTTGATGCCGTAATTTCGACCCACAATTCATCACTTGTTTTAGCTACGTTCTCGCGAGAATCCCGGCAAATGTTCAACAAAAAGTTTACCCGCCTTGATTTAATGGATATATATTGAAGATAAATAGAAAACGAAACGTTCTTCATTATCTTTCAGCGCTGTTAAGGCTTTTTTCTTGGAATTGAAACTCACATACGACGTCATCTGACGTCAGAGTCTAGACGCTCCAAATCGCACGTGCGGTTTCACAAAGTTTGACGAGCCCGATCTAAATCAAAACAAGGGAAGAGTTTGCGCTCGCTCTAACGGTCGCACCGTCAACATATTACATATATGCATACATGTAGCACTAAGTCAAGGTAAAAGAGTTTAATGAGCATAAAACTTTTTTACCATATATAATGTGCACGAAATTAAATGTCAGTAACAGCACCACTCTTATCTCCAAGTCACTGATAGATTTACAAAATTAGATTTCAATGATTTATTTATTTATTATTTATTCCTTAAAAATTTTCATAAGTAAAGTTATCAAATTTGTTACTATTTGTACTACGTTTATATTTGAAAATGTCGGGAATGAAAACAAAAAAATGTCGGAAATGACAACTTAAAAATGTTGGAAATGAAAAGTTGAAAATTACCAAAAATTCCGGAAATGATACAGCCTTTTCGGAGCATTAACTTGAGGACGAGAACTAAGTTAGAGTCTGGGATGGACTAGAAGCTGCTCTTCCCATCATGTTTAATATCAACAATAAAAAAAACGCCGTCCCTGCAACTTCTTTTGATCTAAACAACTAAAAAGCGAATTCCTCTTCAAAGAAACAGAGAGAGAGAGGGGGGTGGGGGAATAGAAACAGAGAGAGAGGGGGGTGGGGGAATAGAAACAGAGAGAGAGGGGGGTGGGGGGATAGAAACAGAGAGAGAGGGGGGTGGGGGAATAGAAACAGAGAGAGAGGGGGGTGGGGGAATAGAAACAGAGAGAGAGGGGGGTGGGGGAATTCTTAAGTTTTTCTCGGAGGCGGGGGTATTGTCAAAACCCTCTGAAATATTGTGACCAAAAACATAAACAAAAAAAAAAAAACGAATCGCAATAAACACACAAGCAAACAAAAAATGGAAAGGGAAAATAGCCAATGTTGAAAAACGTTCTTGAACTGCTTGAATAACTATGCGAAAAAGATCACTAAACCTTTTATTTTGAAAAAATCCGTTTTTCATGTTGGACATTATAAGTTATCAATGATGTGCTTAACTAAATAAGCTTTAAACGTACGTGCTTCATGCGTTAAATTCTCACCATTTTCCAAAAACTAATATTAGGAATTTTAAAATCAGAATAAATGAAGTGTTGTCAGCAAAAAAAAAATTAAATAAACAAATAAATGAACTAAATTGTATATTGTGTAACTATGTTTTCTAATATCCAGGATATACATAGATAAATGTACTTTTTAAATAAATATTACGCGAAATATTGTGATTTTAAGCTACATGTAACTTTAAATTATAAGATATTTTTGTTAATATTTTATACCTAGAATATAACTGAATTACATTAAAAAGTGTGCATTGATTACATTGGTGTCGGAAGCAAATTGAAAGTGCTGGGGGTCTAACTGAAAAAGAAAGAGTAATTCAAATCTGAAAAAAATGACAAGAAAAAAATTGTCCATAATCCAAACTAGTAGTCCAAACCCGAAAATCCTATGGGAGAGGGTGGGGGGGGGGGTAGGATCCAATTTTTTTTTAACACTACCACTTACTCTTCTTTTTTTGACTACACTGTAACGTGCCTGTTGAAAGCAGGGGGGGGGGGAGAAACTAAGCCAATTTTACATTGTTCAATGACTATATGTGTTTATCTTTGCTAAAAAAGGGGGTAAGCATCCTTAGCCCCCCAACCTCTCCCTCGTTCCTAGGAATTAAATCACAGTTGTGAAAACCAAGTCATAAATATGTGTTTTTATGCTGTTGAACTTTGAACCGGTTTCATGATCAAAATTCCACGACCCGGCTCAGATTTCAACGGACTAGGGTCTAAATTCAACACCTTTGGTCTCACTATTCAACGTTGAAAAATGACCCCCGGGTCAATTTTCAACACGGGTCAAAATTCAACGTTACAACGGCCCCCAATGAGCCCTCTCTTTTTCGAAAATCAGGGAAACGATCTTTTGCGTGCCAAGGGGGTTGTAATCCTTGACACGGGGCACCATTTAACGTCTCATCCGATGGACCTCGAAATGACTACTTTCAAATGAAAAGTTAGAAATTTTCACCCCTAGATATATGAAAAAGCAGAAAAATTAATATTTTCCCTGATCTCATAAATACCTTGATATACATATACATGTATGTTCTTATTAGACTAAGTAAATACTGATCAAGGCATTATTTATGCAATGATATAATAATTATAATATTACATGTATCTATTGTACATATATTTGATCCTATTTTGTTGCCTAGTTTTAAATGTTTAAATATTGTATTATGTTTGTTCTCTAATGTTTCATGTGAGACGTTGTGTGGAGGACATGTAAATTTACGTTTCAGGCCTTCAACAATTTCTCTAGTTTCTGCATCTTTTTCAGCCTGTTTCCTCAGTTCTTCTATGTAATGGCGGTCATGGACGGGGTCCATTGTCTCATGTCTCAAAAAGTCGACATCTCTTTCAAACTTGTTCCCGTTGTTAAGGAAAGAATCAAGGTCCACAACTGCTGATCTGACAGTGGACCATATTGTGTTGAATTCAGCGTTGGAGAGGACGGGACTAGAAGAATGTACAGATTGATTTCTTGCAATACGGATTCTCTCAATGTTGGCAGAGAGAGATCGATCTGTAGGGTCTGGATCAAATCCCCAGCCCTTGCTGTGAGGTGGTATACCACAAATATTCCTCAGTAGTATGTACAATAAGGAAATGTCCATATCACCACAGTTTCCTGTATAACTACTACCTCTGGGTAAAATAAGATTCATCTGTTGAGCTGTCAGACGGGGAAGATTACTCTTTTTGTTTATAATGACGTGTTGAAATGTTGGCGGTGGTACATGGTGAAGTAAAACATCACGTAACTCATCTGTACATGGACCCAAGAGAAGTCGACAGGCTCTACAGGCATTTGTCGTCTCCTCTGTAGAGGCGTAAGACGAGGAGGCCATAACAATCTTTTATTGCTTTTCTGAAAAATGATTACAAAACAAAGTTTAATATTTACATTTCCAATAATTTCCCCCAATGATTCTTTACAAAATAAAATGCAGTATATTTTCTCATGAACTACATTAGATTTCTATCACGAATAAGCATGAATATCTCCATTGTTACTTCATGATACCGCTCTTGACTTCAAAAAGTCAAAAAATATAGTGCACACTGTTTTGTTTTAAAAATGACAGTTGAACGGTGTAAATTTATTGCAAGTCATCAGAAAAATAATGTAAATATAAGAAATGAATTTAATTTTTTGAAGATTCATGAGGTATATGAACTACAACGCTTCACGCCGGCATATTTATCATGAAGCGCTAACGCGCTTCATGAAATATGCCGGTGTAAAGACGAATAATGACCCCAAACGAATAATGACCGGGGGTCATTTTTCGACAGCGAAAAATGACCCCGGTCATTTTTCGACGTAGAAAATTGACCCTTTTGCCCGTAGAAAAAGTGTCACTTCCCTAAAAATTTGCAGAACCCACTTGAAGAAAAATGACCCCCGTAGAAAAATGACCCCCCTGTAGATTAAAGCTAAAATTTTTAGGGGGCAATAAAAAATTTGATAATGAAACATATTGGCCAAAATGCTCACCTGGGCTTATTGGGAATAAACTGATGATATGTTAATCTCATAACATTATACAATTATAGCTATATTTTAAGGTAAATGCAATGATTCTGATTCTAAAGGAGTAAAAGATTTATCAAGCCATAAAGGTACTTGGACACAGATTTGAAGTTAATATTTTCTCATTTTTTTCTGTATAATATCTCGAATTATATAGTGGCAATTTTTATGTGTTTTAATGAGAAATATTTAAACTTTTGTCAAGAAAAATAATTTTATTCAGAGTAGAAATGTTAGAAGGCAAAAGACCTTCACAAGTATCGTCATTCCGATCTAAGAGATGCGTACACAGTTTTGCAAATCGAGCACACTCGTGTTATGTACACAGTTTTTGTAAACAGGGCTCGAGTTCTGTTATTGTTTATATTGAGAATTCACCGGGTAAGTTCAATCGTCACAGTCTGCTTACCACAACTGCACAGACTGACAATATATTGTGTGTTTGTTTTGCTTTCGAACGTGTCTACTCTGAATTTTCTGGATTATAGTATTAATATTTTTCAGTTATACAAAACGAGATTGCCTCTTTTCCTAATGATTAAGAATAAAATTAAATTTGTGAAAGTGCAAGGATATGTCAATCAAACCCGCCTAAAAATTTGAAATTTCAATATCTTTTAAACGAAATAAGATTTTTAATTAATTTTTGTGTGAAATGCTATTAAAATATATAAGTCGTAATATTATAGAGAAAATAACTTCAAATCTGTGTCCAAGTACCTTTAAGGGTTAGGTAAACATTGTTCTTGATGGTGGAAATCATCGAACTGACAGAAAAAATCAGCAGTATTATATATTATTATATCCTCCGCTTGAAAAACGGGAGGGTATGTAGTGATCGGGATGTCCGTTCGTCCGTCTGTTACGCGTTGGGTTTCCATTTCTTATCCGCAAATCCTCATATTATATAAAAAGATATGTTTGTGAAACAGCTATGCCCCTGTATTGCAACAAAGCAAATATCAAATTTTTCTTAAATATATTGTTACCCAAAGTAGGGTCTTCTCACAAGAAATACAACTGCAAAATAGGAAAGCCCTAGCACCACTTGTTCAAAAGTAATGGCTAAGGATTAGTTTTTGAAAGGTAGGTCAAACTCAAAGGTCAAAGTTGATGATTTCTTTAGAAAATGTTTTATGTAACAAGGATTACATATGTCAAGTATGAATACCTTTGCCCTTACCGTTCAAAAGTCGCCAAGGTAAAAAGAAAAATCATAAGTAGGGAAAACTCCAAGGTCTAGGTCAAAAGGTCAAGGTTTTTAGTATCCAATTAAAGGTTATGCCAAAAAACTAAATATTTGAAGTATGATAGTACTAGTATCTACAGTTTAAAAGTTATGGCCAAAGTAAAAATTTGGCATTTTTGTGTAAAATGGGACAAACTTAAAGGTAAAGGTCAAAAGGTCAAATTTGGTGGTACCCAAAGTAAGGCCTTGTCACAAGGAATATACATATTAAATGTGAAAGTCATAGCTCAAATAAATGAAAAGTTATGGTAAAGGTTAAGGTTTTTGCGGACAAACAAACCGCCAGATAGACAGACGGACATACAGACAAACACGATAAAACTATATACCCCGAATCTTCGTTTACGGGGACATAAAAAGAAATGGTCTTCAATTAACTTTTCATATTTATATACATTATAAAGAAGAAGCTACAACAATGAAAATGTTTGTTCTGATTTTCATATTGAATTCTCAAAAAAAAAAATTTCTCAGAACTGAGTAAAAGGTTGGAGTAAAACAAGAATTAAGGTAGAACCTATATCGGAAAAGACTTTGTCAAAAGATTTTCAAACTTTTCAAAATGATTAATTAGTACTTGCTTATCAATCAGTTAAGATATCATGATATGTTTCCTTGTTTTTTTTTTATCTTTACACTTTACATGGCCTGGATATAGACTATCTGAAAAATAATCCCCTTTCGTGTTCATGTTTTTCTTCGCCCTATAACTATAGTCCTGCTGGACACGTTATTACATGTGACGTAAATATAGTTCGTAATGAGGACCTTAGATCACTTATTTTAAAAGGTCCTAAATATAGGGAACCCGGATCCTTCAACTGGCGTCGGAATTTCATAAATATTATGGATTCTGTTGAAAATTACGCCAGACGATGGGCTAGATATGAAAAAGAAGACATTGACATTTTGTCAGAATGGATTAAATGTATCAGATCCATGTTAAAGTCACGTATTAAAAGACTGAGGGGCAAAATGAAAACCATCTATCCTTCTGTGTTCAATAAACCAGAAGTGAAAAAAGAATTAGATAGATTACACGATCAGTACGTACTGGTTCCTGCCGACAAAGCAGGTAACAACATTGTCTTCGTTTGTAAGGCTCATTATATAAATTGCATTTTAGAAGAACTTGGATTTAATTCTACAAGTGGTAATCCTACTTATACATATACTACTCTTTCTAAGGAAGAAATTCTTCAAAATCACCTGTCAGTTTTGAATACTTTTAATATTCCACAGAGCCAAAATGAATTTGAACTACCTTATGTATATTGGATTCCGAAACTTCATAAGAATCCTTACAAACAAAGATACATTGCAGGTTCCAGTAAATGTTCAACCAAGCCTCTTTCGTTACTTCTCACTAAAATATTGACAGTAGTGAAGGAAAAACTTCAAGAGTACTGTACAACTATATATTCAAGAAGTGGTGTAAATCAGATGTGGACACTTAAAAATTCTAAAGAACTTTTGGAAAATTTGAAATCACAAGACTTTACAAAAATCAACAGCATAAAAACTTACGACTTTTCAACTTTATACACAACAATTCCGCACGACAAATTAAAATCCAGGCTTTTTGATATCATTGACAGCTGCTTCTTCAACAAAAAAAGGAACTCGTAAGTTTACTTACCTCGTCATTGGTCATTTGAAAAATTATTTTGTTAAAACAGATTCTGATTGCACACATAAGTACTCTGAAGTTGACATCAAGAAGATGCTTGAGTTTCTGATTGACAATATCTATGTGGTTTTTGGAGACCAGGTATTCCAACAATCTATTGGAATTCCCATGGGTACAAATTGCGCTCCGTTATTAGCAGACTTATTTTTATATTCATATGAAGCAGAATTTATGCAAAATCTTTTGCGTGAAAAGAAAAAAACACTTGCTGTGGACATCAACTCGACATTTAGATACATCGACGACGTATTGTCAATTAATAATGATAATTTCCATTCCTACATCGATACGATATATCCTGGTGAGCTTGAGATAAAAGATACCACAGAGTCCGACACTTCTGCTTCATACTTGGATATTTTACTTGAAAAAGACACAAATGGTAATCTAACAACCAAGCTATATGATAAACGTGATGACTTTAACTTTTCTATCGTCAACTTCCCTTACTTATGCAGCAATATACCTTCATCACCTGCATACGGAGTATTTATATCTCAGTTGATTCGATACGCAAGAGCATGCTCTACGTATGACCAATTTCTTAAACGAGGTAAATTATTGACAAGCAAGTTGATGAAACAAGAATATCAACAGTCTCGTTTAAAGTCATCATTTCGTAAATTCTATGGTCGATACAATGACCTTGTCAGCAAATACAATTTATCATTGAATGAAATGCTGACTGACGTTTTTCATACCAATTGTTAGTCCATTATTTATACACTGAATTGACCACGGATTTTTTCCGTTATTTCCTGATTATGACAACGAGCACACGGCGGGTGTGACCGGTCGGCAGGGGATGCTCACTCCTCCATGGCACCTGATCCCACCTCTGATGTTTCGGAGGTTCGTGTTTGCTCTGCTCTTATTTTGTATATTTGTTTAATGGACGTTGAGATTGAATACTGTTCGTTATTTCCATATCCTTCATCTAGAACAGGCTGTGAAACTTGGTATGGTATTTACATACTGCGACTTCACATCTTCAAATATTTTTAGGGGTACTTGTCAAGGGAATATGAAAAATCACAACAATACTTCTTCAAACATCGTCGTTTATAAACTTTTTAAACAGAATAATATTAAACAATATTTTATCAAATAATAAATTTCTTTTTTTTTAATTAACATAAAAGATAAGTCCACCATTAAAAAAAAAATAGTCAAATGAACTCTATTATTTTTAGTCAATTATTCACCCTATATTTGTAAATTTTTTTTTGAAGTCTTTGTCACAAAGTTTTCAATCTTCAATATGATGAAGGAAAGGACATAACCAAATGATTACAAAAAGGATTAAAATATATACCTTTCCCCTCTAACTAATGAAAGATAGGCTATTTACCGATACTCATATTCTTGACCTTTTTGCACTTACACGGTATAAAA